CTATGCATGAGACTCTCAGCAGGACCACTGTAGACATCCTTCAGACTCTACAGACTCGCAGTGGCTCCTACCACTCCGATCTCCTCCCCGATGAACTCAACCTTTCACTTGATGTCCTTCACTACACACTCTCTCTGGCACGCAACGCCGTGTTTCTGGACACCCCTCTCTCAATCCAGACCTATACCAAATCGCGACTCGTCCATGATCAACTTGCAAAGAATGGATGGTGTCCAAGTGAGGTCTCGCGCTTAAACCAAGCGTGTTCGGTTGTCAGCGGCTACTTCTCCTCCAGACTCGGCGTCCTGGGATCGTCCACCATCCACTCCAAGTGCTCACACTGGCAATGTGAAGCATGGCAAGTCGATGAATCAAATTACCGAACGAAGCACGCCAACACATTGTGCGGCTGTACCTTTGTAGGGTTGCCCACCGAAAGGATTGCCGAGATCATTCGCGTCAGCCAAATCCCATGTCTTCGCCTTGACCGCCACGGAAACGGTTTAGAATTGGTTGCGATTGATCCGAGCGCACCAATTCGCTTCACTGCTATTTCGCACGTCTGGGCTGACGGGCTAGGTAACCATGCCGCCAATGCCTTGCCCCATTGCCAAGTCCGGCTGATTCAAGAACGGGTCAACATGATAGCAAACCTAGGGAGCAAGCCTCTTGCTCCCTCCGACAATCAACCATTCTGGATGGATACTTTGTGCATCCCGGTTGGGAGCGGATTCGAAGCCGAACGAAATACGGCGATTGCGGAGATGAAAACCATTTACAGAGATTCCGGAACGGTGCTTGTTTTGAACAATGAATTGAGTAGTATCTCCGTTGATCGCAGCCCTTGGGAATTGTCCGCGCGCATTACGCGGACTACTTGGTTTCGGCGTCTTTGGACGTTACACGAGGCTGTTTTGGCAAAGAAGACAGTCTTTCAGCTCCAGGACGGCTCGGTTGACCTTTCGGAGCTTCAAACGATAGTCCAAGGATGGGACAACTCGTCGAAGCTTCAAGATCTGCTGTGCCGACTGATATTTCGAGAAGCCTGTCAGCCATACTCGAAGCTCCTTTTGTTCAAGTCTAAGTCACTCTCCACCCGAGTTCAAGATATCTGGACCGCTGTTCAGTGGCGCAATACGAGCTACCAAGAGGACGAAACGATATGTCTCGCCAACATGCTTGGTCTCGATCTCTCTTCAATCCTCGCCGTTAGCCGGTACGAGAGCGAGGCTAAGATCAAACGAATGAAAGCGTTCATCCTTCTCCAGAAGTATTTCCCCCAGGGCTCGATCTTCCAAGGTGATTATTCCGATTTAACGAGACCGTCTACAACAGCGCTTGTCGGGTTAGAATGGGCACCCCAGTCGTTCGTCTTTCGCACGCGGATGCCGGCTCTTGAACGGCCTGACACTCACCTTGCCTTAGCCGATGAGCTTGGGTTCCACGTATCATTAGTCGCTCTCATCCCGGACAAAGGGTGGGATGGCTTCACCCAGGCACAAATGAAGTCCACACTAGTAGGAGATTTGCACCAGGCGTTCTTCATGGTGCCTTTGGAATGGGATTATTTCTACTCCGTGTGCTGGGACATGGACCGTGGACGTTGGAATCTCGTCAACTCACTGCGCGACGAGACCTTTCCTGCTCTCATCCTCCAGCAAGACATTACCTTGGTGACGGATGAAGACCTCGACCTAGACGAAAGCGGTGGTTGCAGGGACGGTTCCTCCATGACTCGCATGTTCGACGGCGACCTGATCGCGGAAGAAGCCCGAGAAGAAGTGCTGCAGGAGATGATGAGGGAGGCCCGGGGAGAAACGGTCGAAAAAGATTACACACCTTACGAGCGTCGAATCTTCTCAGCCTCGACTTCTGCAATCGTTGTCGCCGCCAGTGCCATGGACGTAAGCCCCGATACCCGTAACTTGACAGACTCACTTCAATACAAGCATCCCCGCGGGAAGAGTTCGAATCCAAATGTCGCAGTCGAGTACCAGGCGCGGATCATCCAGCACGTTGAAGTCAAGAAAGAGATGTTCTCGACGTACACCCAAGCGGCGCACAGGCAGGTGGGAGGACATGATGAGTTTACGCATAGGATTAATTCATGTGAGAAATGGTCGGACAGGGTACGGTGGTGTGTTCAATAAGTGGGTGGCATCCATCATGGGGATGGCGTGGACAAAGCAAGCCGTCTGTGGGGTGAAGGGTTGTCTCCTCCGCGCAGGGGGTCTCCGCCGAGCTCGGATATGGCTTGGTGAGGCGATGGCATTGTCAGGGAGGCGAATGAAATCCATCAGGCGTGTCTGTCAATGTGGAAGGCAGATTTATGTGCAAAGGTCGACTCCTAGGTTTACTGGTCACAAGATAGAAAGTCAACCGATTCGCTCAAGTCGACCGGTGATTCATCCTAACGGGAGCTCAGTCTGGAAACGAAAGGGGCGTTCGGTGAAGCCAGCTTTGGCGACTGTATCTTCTCATCGTCAGAGTAGCAAGAGGGCGTTCCCCTCTTTGGAATGCTACTGTAGGAGATCGGGTCCGTCATTTCCGGGGACAAATACACCCAGTTTTGTAGGGAACTGTCAACACTGCCAGCAATCCAACGTGCAGATAGGTTCGCCCGTACCGAACTTCAGACACTTCCCTGGAGATACGACCAATTTGTTCAAGCATAGTTGATAACTCGAGGGGTTGTTTGCGTGTCCGACGTTAGCTTAAGGTACGCTTACAAGTTACAAGCCTGCGTGTGGGCGTGGCTAAACAACTGCCTGAGCCGAGAGTTGGGAGCTCAATCTGGCTCCTTTCGCTTGACTACCTATGGAGTACACAGTACTCCGTACAGTAGGCACATACGGTATACTGTGCGTCCCGTGTGGACTTGGAGCAGTAGCGAAGGAAGGGCCTTGACTTGCGTCAAGCTGAGCGTATTCGCTGCATTAGGCGAGAGTGGGCGAGCTAGGCGAGTCCTTCTGGGGCCTAGGCCGATTCGGGCTCTGTCTGGCGGCTGCCTGGACGCATTTGTAGGCTCTGGGTTTGGCGCTCTTCGACACAACAGGCGTCAGATCTCTTCTCTCCAGCCTCATTACCGTTCACACCGTTGTCCGACTACTCGTACCTGAGTTTCTGCCCTTTTGCACAGCGGCAGACCCAACCCTAGCGCAATGCTTGGGGTGATTAAGTCATCGTACTCGAGCCCAGCCTGGTGCCAGAGTAAGTGAGGCTTCCGGACGTGTCAGCATCGCTCTCTATTGACTCGGCAGACGTGCGGCCCACATGGTTGGTCCTCGTGTTCTTTGCCTCATCCTCTCTCCCCGGCTGGGGCGAGTCGCTAGCGAGCCGTGCAAAGCTACCATTGTGGCTGTACTCGAGTACTTGAGAGGTCACCAAGATGTTCAATTGATCTGTTTGGCGACGCACGACATCATATCTCTCGGGTGCTGACTTGCACAGCTCACCCCCCAGCGAGAGGGAACCGCCCCTTGCACTGCCATGTATTCGTTCCTCGTAGGCGCCCTCGAAGCTCAGCATATCCGTCGTCCACGGAAGTACACGTTCATCTTCTACAGTTTGCACGTCCGATTAGATTCACCTCGCACAACCCGCCTCCACCGTCCCCTTCCCTGTTCCCTAACTGTGCGACGCTACACCGCTTCCCTGCACATCCTCCGACAACCAGCGCAACCCTCGCCAATCCATCATCATCCCTCTTCTTGAGAAACCTCCGGCCACTTGCTCCCTTCCGTGACACCACAGGCGAGTTGGAGAGCCGCCACCAGCGTGCCTTGCCTCGAGGTGGAATAGTGCAGCCGCCGCTTCAACGTCGCAGCATCTTGCCTCGATTTTGTATTACCCGACTATCTCCCTTTCTACTTGAGCCAGCAGGGTTGAAGATTTGCTCCAAAGAGTCTGCCCTTTGCCGTTCGGTGCATCCGGTTTCAAATTGGACATTGCCGCATAACCACGAAGCGCAGTCCCCGAATTTGTGAATTATCGCCTGGGAGCCGGTTCCGCCTCCTCTCGTTCGTTCCATCCTGTTTCACTTCTCAACCGAGAAGACACTGTCCCGCACAACACCCCACGAACAAGTCGCTTTCAGCGTCCATCCAGCCGCCGTCGGCCCGTAAACTTTGCTGCCATCGACCTGGCCGTGAGATCCGTAACGCTTAGGTCGCACAAAGCCTGGGCTTCCACGATCAGCAATCTTGTCCCGCGATAAAATCTGCCCGTGCGCTTCCACCTCTCTCGCTCTAGTCACGACAAATCCTCCGCGTCGACTTTATTTGAAGCTCAACCCCAGGCTTGTCTCATGATTCGTCTCGGGACGGCATACTAATGGCCAATTGCTCACCTCACTTTCTCCGCCAGAGTGTTTTGCCTTCTCTTCCGGTCTAGGCGATTGCGTGGCTCTTCTGAAAACAATAACCGCGCTTTCCATTCTGGACCGACTCAGACCGGCTGCCGCCCTCTCCGAGCTTCATTTGTGGGAAAAGTCCCAATCGGAACGAGACTGCAACCTCGCTACTGCCCCGGATCTGCCTTCGACAGATTGTGCATCAAGAAGCAGTCGCCATCGTCAAGCGCACTCGCACGACGGAGACTATTTGTTATTTTGACATCGCACCCAAACCACAGGCACCCCGCCATGCAACAATCTCCAGACATGGACCCTTCAGGTTGGACAGGTCAAGATTATGCGCAAGCCGCCGCCTACAGTGAGTCTCATATTCTCTTTCTTGCACCCTCTTTGCCTGTACACCCACTTTGGTGAAATCGCCTGTTTTTTAGTTCACCTGCAGACCGAGGTTTCCAGCACCCACATCTTCTGCCGAATGATGGAACGGAGTGCACATGTTCCTGTCTCCTGGCAAGGCATCAAATGCTGCTGGACTGGTCAAGACCATAGCATCGCATCAGGTCGTCTTGGCTGGGTCGCTAATGAAGTGCGAATCTCAGACAGTGGAACGCCCGGGGATGATGGCAGCCCAGCTGGCAATCTCAACATGGGTTATCTGAAAAATTTCGGTGGAATGCAGAAGAAGATTACTAGAGGTGTGAACTTCCCTCCCTCTCACGAACGAACTCAGCAATAACCACTCTATAGACGGGCAACCTGCCAAGAGGCGAGGCCCCAAGCCCGACAGTAAGCCGGCACAGACACGACGGCAAGAGCTCAATAGACAAGCTCAAAGGTACGTCCCTGAACTGAAACTGGTTTGAAGATACTGACTAGATTCACAGAACACACCGGGAACGGAAAGAAAATTACATCAAAGCCCTGGAAATGGAGCTTGCTCGACTTCGAGAAATCTACGTTCTGGAACAGAATACTCGTGATTCGACCATCCAGCAGCAGAAACTGATCATCGGGACTCAGCAACGAGAGATCCAGGGGTTGAGAGAAATCCTTGCATCTCGAGGAATTACTTTCGAGAACGAACTGGAGAACCGCAAAGCCATGATGACGATGAAACCGAAACGAGAAGAGAACTCGATGACCCCAACGTCAATCAGCACCTTGAGTCCGCAGTCAGCTGGAAACAAATCAGCCGGCTATGGAGCAGTGGGACGCCCACCGGGTTCGGCAGCAAGCGGGTACTCTCCTCAGGCATACTTGAGCAGCGCTCCCATGAGTTTGTCCGGCCACTCGCCTGGTACCACACAGTATGCAAGTTCGCCGCAAGGACCAGATATCCAAGAGTTTTCCATCAAACAGGAAGACGATGCGACACCCGACATGCCTGGAATCTTTGAAAAAGAGCCGCAGTTGGGCATTGACTTTATACTAAAGTGAGTTTTGAGCCTGTGTTCTCCCGCTTGACGCTGTCCTGACTGGTGATTTCAAGGCTCGAACAGACTTGTCGGGACCACGAGGAGTATCTCGTGCGACGATCAATGGACTCACCCAACACCGAAGAAGAGGCCCTCTTTTCCGGACATGCGTTGATGGCCAGCTGCCCGCCCCCGAGCCATATTGAACGAGTGCCGGCGCAACAGGGAGGTCTGCAGCCAACATACGAGCACAAAGTGCCCGATGCAGAGTCGGTGCAAATCTTGAATAACCTTCTCAATCTCAGCCAGACCTTGAAAGGTAGCGCCATCCCAAGTGGACAGGTCACCCCTATCATGGCTCTGCAATCGCTCAAGGGTCACAGAAACTATGCCACTCTGACTAGAGAGGATGTGTTGTGCATGATTGAATCCATCAGAAGCAAGGTTCGATGCTATGGCTTCGGCGCTGTGATGGAGGATTTCGAGCTGCGTGATGCCTTATCTAGCATATTCGCAACCAAGCCGGAGACGTACGATCAGCTGGGCACGGATTACACAGCTGAAATTGACGAGATGTACTCATGATAGCGCCCTGGATCTCGAACTGCTCGGGGCGGACAGGTCTAAGCCTCAGCATGCTGGAATCCCCCAGGTGGCTGTCTTCATGAATTGGACTTGACATGAGCGCTCTCCGCCATAAGATGCATGGCCAAGTATCCGGTCGCCAGGTTTTCTCACGGGATAGGACTGGGACTTTTGGGACTCCAAGATCTACAAGCGGTAATGGATCAGCATGAACACCAGCATTCGGCGGGGCCACCGAGCCACCTATGTGGGATGTCATAACTCACACGTTCGGTATCCGAAAGTCGCCGACACCGAGTCGATCATCACTGTTGACCCAACGGGCAGCGTCATTAGATTCTTGACCTATCTACATCTCAGTCACAGCCAAAGTCACCCAGTTAAGACAAGACCAGCTACCACAGCGACTTACAAGCCAGCTCCCACCATGCCAGAACTCATAGTCCTCACGTGTGCCTCGGGCCGTCAATGCAGCGCCATCATCCCTCACCTCTATTCCAACCCACAATACACGCTTCGACTCGTTGTCAACTCCCCGTCCTCTCGAGAACGTCTGTCCAAGCAATGGCCAGATGCCGAAGTCATCCAAGCAGATCTACACGTCCCAGACGAGTGCGCCAAGATCGTGACTCGCGCCACGACCCTCCTCTACATCGGGCCGCCTTTCCACCCGCACGAAGTCACCTTCGGGATGAACATGATCGACGCCGCCGTGCGGGAATCGAAAACCCAAGCCGCACCATTCAGGCACTTTATCTTCAGCTCGGCCCTCCACCCCGAGCTCACCAAGCTAGTGCACCACTCCCAGAAGGCCAGAATCGAGGAATATCTCACCGAATCCGGACTGCCGTACACCATCCTGCAGCCTAGCACATTTATGGACAATTTTCTTGGTCAGCTCATTAACCGAGAGGAGTCCTCGAAGGCGGACCCCACGTTCAGAGCGCCGTTCAACCCGGACGTCCCTATGTCGTTCTCCTGTCTGGCCGACCACGCCGACGTGGCCGTTAAGATCGTCCAGGAACGGGACCCGCATCTCTACGCTACGTACCAGCTTGCCAGCACCCTCCCCATCACTCTGCGCGAGTATGTCGCACAGGTTGGTGACGTGTTGGGCACGACGTTCGAGATTCAACCACTACCATTCGAGCAGGCGGGCAAGATGTTCGTGGCTTTGACGTGGGGGCAAGGTCAGGATGTAGGTCAGGAATTCAAGGACGGGCCGGAGCGCATGCTGTTGTACTACGAGAGTCGCGGGCTGTATGGGAATCCGGGCGTGATGGGGTGGTTGTTGGGTAGGAGGCCGAACACGCCCGCGGACGTGGCGAGGTTGAAAATGGAGGAGACGAAGTAAGCCTTACCGGGTTTCGGAGTGCGTTTTGTTCAACCCGACGCTGTGTCATGTAAAAGAAGCGCTCGGGTTCGATATGGTGCGATCCCGTGTCGAGGAGAGCCGCGCAAGGTCCTGATGCTGGAGGCAGATTCGCCGCATCGCAAGTCTCGTTTCGTACTGGTCATCTTATGTCGTGTTATGCCGCGTGCCCTAGTTGGAGGTCAACTATTATCTGTTATCTAACAGTGTCTTGGGCGTTTCCCGCGCGAGTATGGCTGGTTCCTTGACTCGACGACTGATCAATGTATATATATATGTAAGTAAATGTACACGTGCATGGGCATTTACTGAGACGGATAAATTAGTGGTAAGGCCCAGCAAGACAACCACAAAATACTGTAGCGTCTGCGCGGCGAGTATGATGCCCTGTTGTTTCCCGACGTCCTTTAGACCACAGCATCGGGCTGCAAAGAAGAATGAAAACGGGGCTGGACGAATCACGTCAAGTATACACCTTTCAGCTCAGATTAGTCCTTTACTATCACTACTCAGCATCATGTGCACAATTACCTTTAACTTGCCTCGACGTGACTCCGTCCCTGAGCACACCATAGTTGAAGCCAAAGAAACTCCATTTTGTTATCCGTAAGTCCACAGAGCTCGGCTTCGGCCACACAGGATCCTGACCCTGAAAGCCTAGAGCCGGGCGAGTTCTATCTGCTGGGGCTGATTGTATAGATGCAATGTGAGGGATCGGTTCAGAGCGCACGGCGGAGGAAACGGCCATGCGCAGGAGTCATGGCAGTGCCGTATACTTCACCGTATCAGCGCTCCTATCACTGTACTCCACTCGATAATGCCAAGATTTCATTTGCCAATTTTTGGTGTATCGCATCGCAATCGATTATTGCTGGCCGCCACTGTTTGCTCGCTGCTCGATAGGTCGGTGATTTCTCCTGTTCAGACCATCGTCAAAATGCCTGGAATCAGTCTCGCCGAAACGATTAGCTCACTGAGCGTCAACGACGAATGGGGTCCCGAAGTCACCACGGCCACAACCCTGGATGGCGTTCCCTACGCCCCATATTCAAAAAGTGACAAACTCGGCCGCATGGCCGACTGGACACAAGAAGGCAAAGAAGGCCGAGATCGAGGTGGAAGACAGTATGGCAGAAATTTCAGAGGTAAAAGAAGAAGCCTCGTTTGCAAAGGCTTGGCATGGGACTGACATGATTCTTCTAGACCAACAAGTCTACGGAGCGGGCACGTCCTCGCTATTCGCCGTCCAGTCCGCGGAAGACGAGGCCACCTTCTCGGTCGTTGACAACACCAGAGCAACCACCAAGACCAGAGGTTTCGGACGAGGCGGAGTGACGGTCTTCCGTGGTCGCGGCCAGCGAGGGCAGGCTCAGCGTGGCGGCAGAGGAGGCTTCCAAAGAGTCGGACAAAACCAGAGGACAGGCCAGCAACAAGGCCAATACTTTGACAACAGAGGAGGCCGAGGTGGACGAGGTCGTCGATTCGGCTGGAGGGATTACGACAAGCCGCAGCGAAATCGTGACGCCTCAGTCAACATCCGGCCGGACTGGATCATGAAAGAGGAGATTGACTTCAACAGACTGGCCAAGCTGAATCTCGAGACCCCCGACGGCGAAGATATTGACAGCTACGGGTTCCTTTACTACTATGACCGATCGTTCGACAAGCCTCCGGTCAAGAACACGGAGCGAAAACTCCTTTCCCTCGATCGCGCCGCCTACAACGTGACCACCTCGGCCGACCCAGTCATCCAAGAACTCGCGGAGAAAGACGAAGCCACCATCTTCGCCACCTCAGACATCCTCTCGATGCTCATGTGCGCCACGCGGTCCGTCTACAGCTGGGACATTGTCATTCTGAAACACGGCGACAAGATCTTCCTGGACAAGCGCCCCGACAGCTCGATCGACCTCGTCACCGTGAACGAGAACGCGGCAGACGCACCCCTAGAAGCCGACACCTCGTCCACGCCGTCCCAACAACAAACCGGCGTGAAGCCCGACAGCATCAACACTCCTTCCAACCTGGCCAACGAAGCAACCATGATCAACCACAACTTCGCCCTGCAAGTCGTGATCGAGAACTCCAACTCCAAAGTCGAATTCCCCCACCCGAACCCCTTCTACAGCGCGTCCGAGGAGACCGACCCCTTGGCCTCCAAGGCGTACAAATACCGCCGCTTCGACATCAGTCTGAACAACGACGAAGAACCCATCAACCTGATTGTGCGCACGGAAATCGACGCCGCGACCAAGAACAACATCTCCGGGGAGGATCAATTCCTCGTGCTCAAGGCGCTCAACGAGTTCGACCACAAAGCCCAAGGCAGCGGCGGTGCCCTGGACTGGCGCACCAAGCTGACCTCGCAGCGCGGTGCCGTCGTCGCCACCGAGATGAAGAACAACAGCTGCAAACTGGCGCGCTGGACCACGCAGGCCATCCTCGCCCGGGCCGATCAGATGAAACTCGGCTTCGTGTCGCGTGCGAACCCCAAGAGCGCGGCCAACCACGTCATCCTGGGCGTCGTGGGCTACAAGCCCCGCGAATTCGCCAGCCAGATGAACTTGGGATTCAGCAACGGGTGGGGCATCGTGCGGACGATCGTCGATCTGGTGCGCAACTTTGCGGACGCGGCCGATGAGGAAGACGGCGGCGAGACCGCGGGCCCGAAGGACCACAAGTACGTGCTTGTCAAGGATCCGAACAAGCCGGTCATCAGGCTGTATGAAGTTCCGCTGCATACTTTTGAGGACGAGGACGACGGGCTGGCCGGTACCGTGGGCGGCGATGATGGAGCGGGTGAGGACGGCCTGGACGAATAATGCAGGGACTGCGAGACCCGTTGTCGCGTGATTGCCATGCTCCTGCAACACCGGCATGACAAGACGGGCAGAAACCCGTCGAATACATGGGGGCATGCATGAGATCTTATGTCTCGGAAAAGCTATGGAATGGCCCGTAGATAGTGGCACACGATAGAAAGTCACGAATTGCGATGACCGGAAAGAAGAAGAAAAATGAGTGCCATGCATGCTGTTGAAACGTTTATGTTTACACTCCATATCCGAGACTGTTTCTTTTCATGATAACGTGCTTAGATCCCCAGGCGCCGTGCTATTTTTCAGTATCTTACAATAAAACTGTCCAGACATGAATCCTCAAAGCGGCCATTCCCTTGTTCAGAGTAGGCGGGTGATGCGATGCACGCCCATAACCATTTCCGGAAGCGAGAACACTTCACGGTCTACCAATTCCTCTCCTATCGCACTCGGCCCATGCTCTTCCCAATTTGACTTTCCCAGTTCGCCGCGCGTTCGAACCCATTACTCGCGGTCTGGAAGTCCATCATGGCCTGGTAGACGGCCTCTTTACTCGTCGTGACAAACGGTCCGTACTGCACGATGTTCTGATCCAACGGCTGGCCCGCGACCAGGATGAAACGAGCAGAGTCGGAGGCGCCTTCCTCCACGGATGCCGTGACCACGTCGCCAGATTGTTCAAACACGACGTTGTGATAAGGCGTCACTGTCTCGGCCTTTGCGGCGTCGGCGCCGTTCGAGAACGTGACTGCGCCTTCCATGGTATATGCGAAGGCGTTCCAGCCTTGAGGCAGGTCCTGTGTGATTTTGCCGCCCGGTTGGATCTCGATGTCGAGAAGCCAGACGGGCGTGTAGGCGAGGTCCTTCAGCGATTCCACACCCTCGGATTTGCCGGAGATCACCTTGACCGTGACTTTGCCGTCGGCGGTCTTTGCGATGGGAATTTCGTCCGCGCGGAGGTCGCGGTACCGCGGCTCGCAGGACTTTAGATGCTCGGGGAGGTCGACCCAGAGTTGCATCCCGACGTTGATGTCTTCGGTCTGGACGGGCATTTCGGCGTGCATGATGCCCTTGCCTGCTGTCATGAACTGCAAGTCGCCGGGCCCGATTGTGCCTTTGTTGCCTGCAAAGTCTTCGTGGTCGACGCCGCCCTTGAGGAGGTATGTGATCGTCTCTTGCCCGCGGTGGGGGTGGTCAGGAAACCCTGCGCCCGGAGGGATTCGGAAGTGATCGAGCATGAGGAACGGCGTAAAGTGTCGGAGCTTGGGCGTTCCTATTGAGCGGCGGACCACGGCGCCTGCGCCCTCGGATTGTTCGCGGGCGAGGAAGGAGAATTTGATCTCTCGAGGTGTGGTGGACATGTTTGCTGTTGTTGAGAGAAGGCGGGAAGGGATCAGTGGGAGACCAAGAAACAGTGGCGTTGGTGTTGGTGCTTTACCCAGCGGCGTTCGGTATAAACTGTTGCTTAGTAGTGATCTGGTTTGGTGCAGGAACGTCCTTGTCGAAGCCACGTTGCTGTAGTATGCAATGATGATTGCGGTTACGATGGTGATCAAAAAGGACCAGACTTGCTTCATGAAAAGGAAATTGACGGTACTTATACCTTGCGTCGAGGGACGAATATGCTGGAAGATACAAGCACTAATTGAGAAGAATGATCAGCGTTGGATAATGTGCATCTTGGTAGCTTATGAAGGGTGTCCGGTCTTGTCTTCCTCCAGATCTTGCAGAGTACTCGTATGAGTATGCGGCGAAGGAAGATCGCTCAGCAAAGCGTCAACCATTAATTGACAAAGATCTTCGGCAATTGTTCCGCGGTCAATGATTCCGTAAGAATCAGTCAGCAAGCAGCACAATCAGCCTCGTCATGTGACCGCCAAGTTTTCCCGAGGCTATTCTCGCCCGCGGGGCTGAAGTTCTGACTGGCAACAACTGGCACCTCTGTAACTTGGGTGAGGGACGTGCGATATGAGCGACAGTGTCGAGAGTATCAGTGAAGATGTAGCTGGAGACATCGCCACAGAGCATCAACCTTCAGAGAACGTGGACCCTTTTCATCTCTCAATCATCTCATTCGGTCACGCAAACGGACCTCTCAAGCCGATCGGATCCGAGGCTGTCGAGCAGCTCACCTTTTCTGTGCGGGATGTCGGGAACCCACCCGCCAGGCTGCGGAACACGCATACAGGTGTTTCGGCACGTCTGCGAAAAGAGATCTTTGGCAATCAAGCCGCGAGAAGGAAGCTCGATACCATGCTTCAAGCTGTGGAGGCGAAAATGATTGAGTTCAGCAAAGCGCATATCCAGGCGGAGCACACGATGGAAGGGCTGCGCTCACTCTTGCCGGTCTCCCCTACGCTTCTCATTGGAATCATGTGCGAGCAAGGCAAGCACCGTAGTGTGGCTTTTGCCGAGGAGCTGGCTCGGAAGATCACGCCTAAAGACGGCTGGACGGTGTCAGTTGAGCATCGCGATCTCGGTGTCTTCCTGCCCAATGCCGAGAATGAAGACCTGGATGAGCGGACCGCGAATACAAAGGCCCTCCGTAAGAGCAAAAGGCAGCGTGAGCGAGAAAGAAAGCAAGGTAGGTCGTTGGCAGGGGAAGGTTTCGAAGATGATACCCTCGGTTGTGAAGAAATGCAGTAAGCCGTGGGCGGGTCGAGCAGGCAAGAACATGTTCGAAGTCAAGATTCCAGTATTGTCCTCACGCTCGCTCATCCGTGCTGCTATATTCGATGTGACACCCACAGAAATCGCGCTGATTCGAAAGGCCCAATATGCCACAAGATGGGACCGGGCGCGATCGGTTCCTCAGAGACCTCTTAGGAGCGTCCACAGTCGAGATCTATGACTCTTAAACCTATGTCTCCGTCCCCGTGTTCTCCCACTCACACCAAGCAGGATTATCCACCCTGCAGGATTTCGGTATTCAAGTCAAGCACTACTGCGTAGGTGACGAAATGGACAGCCAGAGCAGAGTATACGGCCGACCCATGCACAGACTATGAGGCATCGGACAAATTCGCAAAGAAACACCAAAGCACTAACCCCAGTCAAGTAGCTCGCCTACTCCACAATGCATCTCCATCCCACGATCTGCTCTGCGGAGAGATTCACCTCTTCACATCGATGTGTGAGCACTGAGCAGATGCCGACTCCAACTTCCAGGGTGCTAGGGTCAGGGTCGGAGCCGCGCCTCAAGCAGCCTGCGTGACAGCGACAGTAAATTACCTATGACTACATGGCTATATAATCTTCGCATATCCCCTCTGTATAACGACAATATACCGTGGTTACTTCGATTCTCGGCTGTGCGTCTCTGTGTTCGCGCCCTGGTTGTCCACTAAACCCCGGATATACTCATCTTTCCAAAGCACAGTCCAGAGTACATCATTGCTCAACCCACGAAATCAGCAAAGAGCATACATAATATATACCGTGGAGATTGAACCGAACATCTGGCACAACGTACCAGTCCCGCGCACCACCACCAACAATGTTCTACGAACCAGGCAAAACGGACCATAATCTCCCTCACGATCCATTCAAGGTCAGTCACTCGGTCACTCAGTTGCTCAGCAGTTGGCCACCTCATGACCACGCTGTTCGCAGCTCCCTCTCCCTACGTCTCTGTGTCTGTCTGTCTGTCTGTCTGTCTGTCTGTCTGTCTGTCCATGCAACCCCTCCCAGCAGTGTACCGTACAGAACGATAATGATGTGGTGGTGCGCCAGTGGAAGAGCTAGCAAGATGTACACCGTGCGCAGTTTCTTACGTTTGAAAAGAAATCGTTAGCCCACGTCCGACACTGACAACCGACAACGATTACTGACACCTTCCTTTCTCTCACACATAATTAGGCATGTGTGATCCCCCGACCCATAGGCTGGATCAGCACCATCAACCCGCAATCGGAATCAAATACACAGCCTACCAACGGTAATGGAACTAGCAACGGCGACGGGAACGACAAAGGCAATGATGTCGGCAACAGTATCGGGCAAGCAAATCTCGCGCCCTTTTCGCAGTTCAACAATCTGACGTTTGACCCGCCTTGTGAGTGTGTTTGTCCCTCTAACCCGGCCTCCTTTGTCACACACTCACACTCACACTGACACTGACCTAACCTACCAATCTAATCTGACCCCATCTTAACTGAATTGATTACCGGGCACAGACATCATGTTCTCCAGCAACCAGACCCCCTCACGCCAACAAAAGGACACGGTCCGCAACGTCGAGGCCACGGGCGTCTTCTGCTGGCAACTCGCCACCTACGCGCTGCGCGAGGCCGTCAACGTCACCGCCGAACAGGTGCCCTACGGGGTGGACGAGTTCGAACGGGCGGGCCTGGAGAAAGAATACTCCACCGTCTTGGCCACGGCGGTGCCCATGGTCAAGGCCAGTCCCATCAAATTCGAGTGTGAGTATTATACGACGCTTCGCTTGCCGGGGAATCCGCCCATGGGAAGCGCGGACGTGGTCATTGGGAAGGTCGTCGGCATTCACATCGATGAGGGCGTGTTGACCGACGATGGTAAGATCGATGTGAGCAAGACACAGCCCATCGCGAGGTGTGGGTATTACGACTATGCTGTTGTGAAAGAGACGTTTCAGATGATTGTGCCGGGCGGGACAACAGACACGCTGTACGGATTGGAGGGAAACGTCAGAAAACACAAGGCTGCAAGGGAGGCCGGCAGGAGAATGGGTGTGTCGGCTGAAGACGAGCAGGGACCGCCATAGACGGCCAGCTAGACATCGTATCAAGCCACGTTGTCATGCAGCCCCATTGTTGTTGACGTTGACGTTGACGCACTCTACCAATACTGCTACTGCTTGCTATCCTGTCCGATGCGCCTCCAAGTCAAGGCATCCCAAGGCCTGCTCAGATGCACCAAGAAAGACCGTCATTTCCATCTCTAGACCTATTTACTTTCCTGCCTCGAAATCGCTATCAACTGCTGTGTATGACGACGCTCTTGCAGGGAGACGATGTGGTGCAATGTGATTCGCAAGTCTGTCTGAAGACGATCTCCCGCGTCCAAGGGCAAGCTCTGCTGACCACGCTGGATGTCTGAGGAAAGGTATCGGTGACCATGCGTCCTGCTACTGTGTCAGTGTCCGGCCACGACGGTAGATATGGACTCTGCTCACGGCTTCTGGGGTTGGCTTGAAGCAATTCTCTTCCTTATCTGCACTTGCTACCGGCTGCTCAAGCGGCGCAGTGCCAGGCGATTGGACATGGCTCGTCTCAGCAATGTCGCTGGTTGATGGAGCAATTGTGGTATTAGCACAGACATTTTGGTGTACATAGCCGTTGTCATCAGAGAATGGATTCGTCTTTGAGGGGCTCGAGTCGTCAAAGCATCCAGAGTGTATGAAGCGCTCACGGATATTTTCGTGACTAGGCTTTCCCATCCACTTCTCATCGAGTCGACATTTTCTCGTGAATGAATGCCTAGGGCAGATATTCTGTCCACATGGGTCCTTCAAACCGCCATGGCGTTGGTCAAGGAATGTTGTATTGGAAGGAAGCTCTGTGACATTGTCAGATTGTTTGCGTTGCGTCACACGAAGAATGTCGCAAAGGTTGATCTCACCAGCTAGGTCCGGGAAAACGTCGTATTTGTCACTTTCTGCAGTCGAGTTGGAAGAGGTGGTCGCCATTCCGGTGTTCACAGAAGTTGTCTCTGATGCATCGTCGATCTTTTCATTGGTGGCAAGAAATTGTTTTTCCTTCGGATCTTCGAACGGATTTTCCAGTTGGTGACTTGCAGCCAGAGGAGAAGCGATTTCTGACACCGGACTGCCGAGAGGAGGAATGGCAAGAAGGTTATTCTCCATGTACTCTTGTGCCTCAGCCATAGCTTGCCGGAACTTCAAGGTGGAATCCAACACGGCTGGGCTCCGGGGCCTCCCACTGGGTATCATCTCTCGGTGATCTCTCACAAAACATTGGAGTAGTGGCGTCGTTGCCAGCTGCATTGGAGGCAGGGCTGGTGTCGAGTTCGGGATATCAATAGGGACGGCTCGGGGCTCATCTTCAATGATTGATTGTCCAGGCTGGAATCTGACTGATTTCTTGGAGCTCAACGTCTTGGTGGGTGAGGGAGGATTGACGTCGGAGTCGACCTCATCGCTGACCAAAGGAGCGCTGTCCTCGGAAGTCTTGTCTCTCTTATCTTTGTAGAACAACGCTGCAGGTGCCCGGATTGCATTGGCCAGAGTCTCGAGGAATGTTCTTGGTGGCTCGGACTTGGTCAGTCTCAATTGTGAGGTGGTCAACGACGCCTTCGCAGGGTGCGGACTGGGAGTTCGAAATGGCGTCCTCCAGGCTCTCGACTGCACCTGATCAGAAGACAAGTACACTTCTTCCTCAAGGATGTCTGGCTTGCTAGGCGAGCTGTCACCATCGTCAACTCCGGTCATAAATGCCAGGCCTTCAAACTTACGTCTTCTTCCGAACGGAACCTAGGACGGACTGCAGACTCTTGCGGGGAGAAAGGCCCGAACTGGTCGTGGACCGTGCTCGGTACGGTGGTGGTGTTCTGTTCTCCTGCTGAGGCGGAAGAGGCTCGTCGACGGTACGGCGTCGAAGGCTGGGGAAAGGCATGGTTGCCAGGTAGGATGATAATTATAGAGCATCCAAGAATCAAGGAAATGGCAGAGTGTGTGGCACTTAAGCCCAAGAATCGATTTGATGAGTTGCCAGTATCATATTTTTGAGATGAGGAAAAGCAGAAAAAACAATGCGGCCGAGAAGAAGGCCACTTGAAGCGTGTGAAGTTGTGGCAGGCGCCGGGAAAGCCAAGGCAAGTCCCTCCCGGCGTTCGCATCATCGCCGTCGCCAGGTAAGAGCGATAGATGCGTCTGCTGCACTGTTGACCGACAAACAATCTCTCAAAGAGACCTTAGACTGCTGTCTTCTGTACAGCATCCCCAATCGCTGCACTTCGCCAAACTGTGTCTGCATATTGTCGTGTCACAGATCAAGCTCCACCTCAGCACTCGCAGGACTTGAGCTGCAAATGAGAACGCCGTTGTCTCCCTCTAGGATGCCATCAATCTCCCCTTTAAAGAGCTTCACCTCGCAGGTTCCGCAGGCGCCAGATCGGCAGCCATAATCAGGCGTCAAGCCCGACTTTTCCGCCAGTTGGAGAAGCGTGAGCCGGTCTTTGGCCAACCACTTCACTGTTTTGTTTGACTTCCGGAAGACAACCGTGGCTTCTTCAATGTCTTGCATACTGTCTGTCGCTTGCCGGTGATGGGATGAGGATTTCTATCGACAACTGTTGCGATGGGATCCGTCTATGTCGTTTGAGAGTGGCGAGGGGGAGACGAGGATGTTCACCACAATGAGAGTGAGATTAGCCGAAATACCCAGCATCCCGCCGCTTTACTCATGCTCTTGACAGCCTTCACAGCCTTGATACTATCTCGCCTTGCCGCTTTAAATGTCGGCTTGTACTGTGGTTCTCAAGGCTACGATCACTGTTCATTGTTCACTGTTCACAGTATGTTCACTGTATGACTCACTGGTAGAGAAATCGTAGCCAAAGATCACGAGTTCTAGCTGGCTCTATACAAGGTCGAATAGATTGCCTTCCGAGAAATTGTGAAAGCCAGTCAAATCTCCCAACCAGAACTCAGACGTCGTTGAACCATGGGTGTCCTCAGGACCCATGTCCTCAGGACCCATGTCCTCAGGACCCATGTCCTCAGGACCCATGTCCTCAGGACCCATGTCCTCGTGTCGTGGATCCCGCGCCACAGACATCCTTCACGTTGGATCTGTGACGGAACTACAAAGAACAGGCTCATCTCTTTAGTCCTAGCTGACATAGACAGTCTCATTCCAGCAGGCACATTCACACTATTCAGCCGCACCACCATTTCCCCAATAACACATTCAACCACATAATAGCTGCACCTCTTCAATATGGGATCCGCAATCCAGCAAGACTGCACCTCTAGCAAGTTCCGCCGCATAGGTCAGGGTTTCTGTGGAACTGTATGGGCGGCAGAAGGGGGTAAGTTGGCGATGAAGAGAGAGGATGGTGGTCCTGGGCGATCTCTCCTCAATGACTACAACATGCACACGCTCGTGCTCGAGACAGCCTCGCAACAGAAGGTCAACGTGCGCGTCCCACGATGGCCGGAGTTTTTCAAGAGCGAGGACGGCTGGTGGGGCATGAGATCCAACCGACTACACTCCCTGCAACGTGCTCTGCGCCGAACGCAACCCACCACTGCCGCAGGAGGTGAGGCATCGCCTCATTGACCGGTGCTGCCCGCCCGCAGCGATTGCGACTATCAAGGCCAACGACGCCGACCGAGACTGCTTGGTTCGACCCTACCTGGGCCGACGCAAGATCCAGAACGAGACACGACGAGGACGAAACTTCTTCTCCCTGCGCAACTATCCCTTGCATCTCAACCAGGCGGAGGACCTCGACCTTCCGATTCTGGAGTATTCACATGGGATGGCTGAGATACTCGCCATGATGCACTGGACGGCGAAGATTGACGCGAATGATATCGAGTTTGTGCTGGGAGGTGTTCAACCGCAACCAGAAATTGCCCGCAAAGAATACACACACGACTTTCTGGGCACTCACTCTCTGTGGGTTCTGGACTTTGACTGCTGCAAGCCGCTGACCATGGACGACGCCGGCATCGACCAAGCCGCTCGTGCGTTCTTGAGGAACGACCCGTATTTTTCCCCGCCCTGCGACCAGTGCACAATCTCCGGGCAGTACGCTGTGGATAGAATTCCGAACCCGATATCTCGAGTGCAGTCAGAATTTCGTCACTGGTACTGGCGTAACGTGTCTGGGGCTGCCCGAGAAATTCATTGCGCGGGTCGCAGAAATGCACCAAAAAGGCACCGAGCAAAGCCATTAGCACGTTATTCACTCCCGAAACTGGCACAAGCTCCAGTACAATTGATTACACGGGAAACTAAAGTCGACCAGGAGCTTGGTTGGCGCAGAGTCTTATCAAGACACCCTTCAAACCTGCTGGTGACGATCAGTGCGCAAACAATGCGGAATCGACTCATCGAGCGGATCAGAGGACGTGATGAACTAGTTTGTATGGATAGCATTGGTATCTCATACATAAGCCGGGACAGGAGATTGTCGACTCCTCGATAACCAAGTACCTAGTAGTTAAAACTTGCAGTAGCTTTGTTCGAGCCTAACAAGGCCCAGGAAAAGCAAACAAGCCAAGACTTCGTTCGGTGCATCTTCGGCGACTGAAGCATCAATTCAATCCTCCCTGTGGCGGCCCATCCATCCACAACACATCTCGACTCAGCTATCATAAGTAATCGGTCTTGCTCTTGGTTGGGATACTCTGGAAGCTGTGGACGAGTGGTGTTGCAAAACGTCCACGAGTGCGGATTCATCAACAAGGGCAGATGAAATTGTTATCCAGCTCCGGCAACCTAGCCTCGTTCACCACATCTATCGGTCCGCGATTGGCGAGGACAGCTCCGGCATCAGATTGTACGACCCTGGGTTCAGTATTTCCTTGCCTCAAGCAACAAAGGAGGGACCTACAAGTTCATCGCGTCTTTCGTGGCTTTGCCTCCTACTTTCATTCTCTGCAAAGGCTTCCTCGTGGAGGTCGAGCCTGGGATTGTAGACGACGCTCAGAGATCCGCACACGACCCAAAGCCAGTCAATCTATCCATTCGAAACATCACACCTCAAGTAATACGTCAAACGCGACAGGCACCACCACTACGACTGTTTCAACGCAGTATCACTCCAGCTCATTAAACGATTCAGCCGAGCGTCAAGAAACCAAGCCGAATAATGATGCCACTGCATCAAAACAGCAGGAGAGTCCTGCGATCTATAAGCCAAGCCGAACTACACGATCAGAGGGTGCAACAACCACCGTAGACCACAAAGTATCAGCGGTTCATGGGGAACAGAACAGGGCGACGTCCTTGAGCGATGGGGTCAGAAAGATAATGCGCCACGTACCTCATCCAGTGGCGGTTATCACATCCACTGATATCTCCGTCAGTCCCGAAGGTGCTCCTACTGCTTGGCGCGGGGCTACGGTCTCTTCGTTCAATACAGTGACGCTACGCCCGAAGCCCATCGTGTCATTTAATATCACGAAGCATTCCTCCACATACGAGGCCATCAAAAGTTCCGGGCTATTCAACGTCCACTTGCTCAACTGTTCCTCAAGCAGTAGTAGCATAGCTGGTAGATTCAGCAGAGGCAATGCCTCTTCACCGTTTCATGATGAAGACGGATCCCTGGCAGTGTGGGCTGAGGAACAACATATGAATGTACCTGCGCCATCTCACCTCGGACCCCGGATCGGGCGCAAATCTCCAGTCATCAAGACCCCTTTACAAGCTGTCCTTCTTTGTACCCACATTGCGCACAAAGCTGTGGAAATCGGAGACCATGTGGTGATATTTGGTGAAGTGGTCGAGAAGCATGATGAACTGCACCATCTCGAGGAGGCGAGCGTATGGCTATACTACGTCAATGGCAAATACAGCCCGCTGATCTCGACGAAAGCGTCGGGCAACGTATCCGTCGGTCCCGGTCTCCTTGCTCCTAAGGGCCAAGGAGCAGCTGTTGGATGATTTGGGCTGATCTCATCATGATAAAGCCACGAGCTTGTCGAAGGGTGCGACCACATGATCGTTCTGTACAATTAGTGTCTCGATAGCATGCATCTGGTCCGAGCAACAAGTAATGGCGAGTCAAGAAGGTCCGCTAAAAGTTTGGTGAAGGAGTTGGACGAAAAGATCATTCAGATAATAGGACAAGGAGAGAAGGGAAGCAAACCTTCCGGCAAGAATCCTCTACCAGCGTCTCAATATCTTTTCACTTCGTCTTTAAATACCCTTCTCATTCGCCGGTCAAAATTCACTTACGACCTATCCCTCGTCTTCTGACCGCAGCCTCTTTCTTTCACTTCCCTCTCCAGACCTCAGCTTGGATATCGCCGAACAAGAACAGGACTCGCTTTCAAAGGACATAATCCTCTTCCTGCATCGAACCCTCAACACCAATATCATCACAGTACCCACCATGTCAGCTCAGAGTGACGCAGACAAACTCGTCTACGTGATGACCATCCTCAAGAACACTGAGATGGCGAAGCCCGACTACCACGCTGCTGCTGTCGAGGCTGGTATCAACAATGCGAACAACGCGTAAGCTGCCACGTCATTCCTGATTCAGATCAATCCTATCTCATTGTGCTCTGCTGACCGTGGACTTCGGTGTCAGTCAGAAGAGGTTCCGCGCCATCGTCAAAGGAGCTGGCTTCGACTTGGTAGACGGCCAGGTCGTCAGCGCCGACGGCAGTGGACCAGCTCCTACCGCGCCAGCAGCCACTGCGAAGAAAGGTCGTGCGAAGAAGGCGGATGGTGCTGCACCCAAGAAGACAGCAGCTAAGAAGGCTCCGAACGGCACCGCTAGCAAGAAACGTAAGCTAGATACGCCAGCTGTGGATTCCGCCAGTGAAGGAGAGAAGGAAGACGATGGCCCAGGAGAACAAGATGCCATTAACAAGGAGAACACCAGTGATGGAACTGCTTAGCCGCTGGGTTGGCCTGGAGCCGACGGAAGTTGACTCGCGAGTTGGAGCGAGGTACGGTGCAGACGAGGTCAGCCTAGGAGGAGATCTACTACTTGCCAGACCAAGGAAGAAGAGATCACGAGAGATCGAGCTGCTGAACGACGAGACCGATACGATGTCGAGCTGGATAGGAATCGACAGAGCAGTGGAAGTGACAGAACAATATCAGCAGACTTGACATGCCAGTGAAGCAGAAATACCTGGCCACACTTTCAATTGAGTACTCATATTCCCTTGAATTCCTTCTCAGATCATCGTCTTGAGAGATGTAGCTTTGCTTCACTTTGCTCCAGGCGGTCGCAGAGTGGTCTGGCTTAGCATGTACGTTCATCTCAGGCTTCTTCACCACCTCGACTTCCTGCTCTACCTTTCCTCTTTCCTCTTTCCTCTACCACTTCCCTTTCACATCGCCGTTTTCTTCAATCTCAACTTCACGATAAACTTCTCTCGCCATCCACTTCTTCAAGTAGTAACTATCTTCACCAATCCATGATGGCAAACTCTTCTACAGACGACAAGATTGCCTACATCCTGACGGTGCTCAAGCACAGCACTCTACCAAAGCCGGACTATACAGCTGTCGCTGTAGAATCTGGCATCAACACCGCCCAAAATGCGTAAGCACTCATCCATGCTACCGGCTCTTTCTCGTGTGTAGACACTGACCACCATCTCGTCATCAAGTCAACGAAGACTCAAGGCCATCGTCAAGGCAGCTGGCTTCGACCTCGTCAATGATCAAATAGTCGGCCCAGACGGCAGCACTGGAGACGGAACCAGCATTGCTGCGTCACCCCCCAAGAAGAGAAAGTCGAGAGCGAAGAAGACTACCAGTGAGGAATCGAACAAGAAACCAAAAGTCAAGAAAGAGGATGACGTTGAAGGCGAGATGAATCAAGGTAGAGAGGAGAGTGTGGCCCAAAGCATGGGAGACGGATGCTGAAGCAGAACGATTACAGCGCAAGTTAAGTACGGGCTGGATTACACGATGGCTAGTCGACTTCAAGACGATATACCGGCGAGCTTGATTACAAGTGCGAATTGTATGAGAAGGACAGAACAGAGCAGCAGAAGCAAGTGGATGGAGAAATTGGCGTTGGAAAGACATGTCATTTGATGGCGACCGTCACAACAAACAATTTCAATTATGTAAGACAAGGCTGAGAAACGCATAGCGAGACAAGGCTGGCATCATTGGTTGCTCGGAAGTCCACTTCATCACACGAAGCATCCTTTTCAACCACCATGCTTTTATACAGTTCACATTGAACATGTCTCACGGCGTCTGTTCCTACTAGCTGGCTGATACCGTGACTGTCCGACATGCCTGCGAGGATATCCCCTCGTAGCAGCCGCTTTGTTTGCGCGCAATGCCGTCACGCCCTGACCTCGACGCAAAGACGGCGATTCTTATCGACCAGCACAACCCAACCTGAGATCTACGATGTCGTAACAGTAGGCGGCGGGCCCGCCGGCTTGGCTCTTCTTGCAGCTCTAAAATCATCACCCGTAACATCACATCTGAAAACGGCCTTGATCGAAACCCAAGACCTCAGCAAACTCCGTGCATGGACCTCTCCGGACGATAAATACTCCAACCGCGCAAGTAGCTTGACACCGTCATCGGTCTCATTCCTCGAGTCGACCGGCTCCTGGAGCCATGTGGACCAATCCCGCGTGCAAGCGTACGACGAGATGCAAGTCTGGGATGCGGCCAACGACGCAGCCCTCCAGTTCGACTGGGGCGCCGAGACGAAAAGGTACAATGCACCGCCGAGGACCGTGGCGACCATGACCGAGAATGCGAATCTCACGAGAGGTCTTCTCGCGCGGATTGCCGAACTCGACGCAGAGACGTCGCTCTTCTCGAATACCAGTGTATCTTCTATCACGCACGGGGCGGACGACCCAGAGGGACTCGACTTGTCAACCTGGCCGGTATTAAGTCTGCAAGCGAACACCCCGTCGTCATCGAATACGCCGCTGTCGTCTACATCATCTATTGCCGCTCGCCTGCTCGTCGGCGCCGATGGCTTCAACTCTCCTGTGCGCACCTTCGCGGGCATATCCTCGCACGGATGGGACTACGACCGGCACGGCGTCGTCGCGACGCTTACAACCCAGCCGGCAGAAGACAGCATCCACGCCACCTCGCCGGACTTTGACCTCTTCTCCGACGACCCGCTCCCCAACCGCGCAACGGCGTACCAACGCTTCCTCCCAGCTCTAGGCGGACCCATCGCCGTGCTACCACTACCCGACAACCACGCCAGCCTCGTGTGGTCCACCACGCCCCAGCACGCAAGCTACCTGAAATCACTTGCCCCCGCGGCTCAAGTGGCCATGATCAACGCAGCATTGCGCCTCGACCAGACAGACATCGCGTACATGCTCACACTAAACGCGTCGTCCGCCCATCCCCACAACCATCAAGACGAACTATCCTGGCGATTGCAACATACTCGCCTGAGTAGCGCTCGCCCTTTGCCAACAATAACGAGCATCCAAGAAGGGACACTCGCCTCGTTCCCGCTCCGCTTCCGCCACGCCTCGGCGCTCACAGCCCATCGCACGGCCCTGATCGGCGACGCCGCGCACACGGTGCACCCGCTCGCGGGGCAGGGGTTGAACCTGGGTCTCGCGGACGCGGCGGCGCTTGCCAGCACGATCGCCTACGCGGTCGATCACGGCATGGACATTGGCGACGGGTTCGCCCTGCAGAGGTACAACGCCGAGAGGTTCGGTCGGGGCCTGCTCATGGCCGGCGGCGTCGACGCGTTGAACTGGATGTATCAGGTCGGCGGAGGTTCGGCGGAGGGCGGCATGCTCGGTGCGTTGGCCGGGCGGGTCCGAGGCTTGGGCATGAAGATGGTGGGCGCGGTGCCTGGGTTGAGAGAGGTCATCATGAGGCAGGCGAGTTGAATAAGTTTTTTAACCATAAGTAGTTGGAGCGGTGCGCGTGCCGCGGTGGAAAGAAGGGGGGGAAATGCTACCATGTACGAGTACGTATGTACTGCATGTATCAATTCTTTGGCTTTTTGTTGAATTAGTATGCTTCGCATTCCGTATTACTGGCCGGGTGGTAGGCAGGCAGAAGGAAACATATCTCTTTCTACCTAGTACCTGCACGTGCCAACTACCTGTCTACTTTTAGAGAAGGAATGCGTGTGGTTTGGTGTCGCATGGTTGATGTGATATTGCAAGAAATAGGCGATCGTAATGCAAAGTAAAGCGTATCACCTGGAACCCGTAAGTGTACGTGGAAAGTTAGACAAAACAGGACGGGCTCGCTTTGGTGGTGGGAATCCCGGTGGGCGTGCGAGCAGTGCCACAATACGAGCTTATAGTTTCCACCTCCGTTGTCCAGTACTGAACGTCTCCAGCTGTGGCGAAGCAGAAACGAAAGCCGTGGCTGGAGTGGGAAGGAGAGGTGAAAGACAGACACATCAACAAGCGAACGCATAAGTTGATGGCTGGAACAGTTGTAACGATCAAAGAGGAAGGCGTCATCGAGCAGGGAAGTTGTGCTATCATCAACCATCTCCTCGTCCCCACGCACCCAGTTCAACTCTCTCATCAGTATACATGTCAACCTTCAACACCTCTTCCCTGCTGCGTACACCTATATCTCCTTGCTCTTCTCCTTCTTGGGGAGCAAGACGTTCCAGGACAAGCCACAGACCTCCCGTTGCCGGCCCACACATGTCAGGCCGCAAGTCCACATCGTCCATCCTTATACCCGAGGACAAACTGCTGAATGACGAGTCATCGGCTTCGCTGCTGGCAATAATGGACTTGTACGGTCCCTGGCCTTGTTCGAGAGTCGCTTTGAAGAGCGAGGAGCGCGCTTTGTCCGCATTGTTAGAGCTCTGGGCATCGGGTCGAGCTATGAATGTGACTCGGCTCATCCGTAGCGCTGTGACAGGCGCGAGCAGCCGATTTTTGCCATTGCTGAAGATTGCCTGCGCCGACTGAATGTGTAACCGTCCGGCATGCTCTGCTGGTAGTTGGAAAAGAGGCTGTGGTTTTGCAGAGGAGGAGTAGTGGAGGTCCAGGCAGAACTCGGCGTACTGATTATTTTCAAAGGTTGAGCATATGAGCGTGTACGTTCCCGGTCCTAACTCGGTCTCCATGACTGCGCTCCCTCTTCGATAATCGCCTGAATGCGCTAGGACATCACGGGGCCGCAGCCGGGTAATCCTTGAACCGTTGCTGAAGACGATCAGTATCTTGACACTGATGTCGGCTGATGGATTGGCTGCAGCCACCGGCTCTCCCGCTCTTGCTGGCTGGGCCACCCGTAGCACTAGCGCAATCTTCTGAGGGGCGTTCAACGTGAGTTGGAACTGTGGGTTGGAAAAGTAGTTTGGCGAGTCCGAGTTTCCTCCGGCGTTGGATCTTGTCCAGGCTGAGGTGAGCCCGTACTTCTGGGGATATTCATTTTGGGCCTCTGTCAATGCGACGGGGCTCCTAGCAAATGCTGATATGGAGAAATTCAGTTTCCCCGTGGGTAAATCCTGAGACGCCACAACTGCTGTGTAGGTTGTGCCCGCGCTGGCCTCGATTCGCAAGAGCGTGTTGGGAGAGTCCACGAACGCCCCCCGTACTTTTGCGCCCTCGCTCGAGAGGACTCTGTTGCCATCCCGGGTGTAGAGATAGAGGCTGATGTAACCATTATGGCCGACTGTTGCTTCACAGTAGTCACCTGTGCGGAAGTGTCGATGGAGCAACAACCAGATCTCGCCTGTTTTCGAAGCAGTAACCGCGAACTGAGGGTTATCCACAATCAGGTTGCTGACCGGAGGCGGGCTGTCCTGTGTCCACGAAAAGTGGAGGTCTTGTCTGTGTGAAAATAAACCCGGGTTCCAGTTGAGGTACATGTTCTCAAAGTATTGGAAAACGCTGTTAAAATCCATCCAGAACGTACCAGGCATCATGGCATTGTCTTCGTCTACCTCTTGTGCTTCTGGTCCACCAGTCGCATTTGGTCGCCGTCGAGCCGCGCCTTTCCAAACGTCACCATCAGCCCAAGGGTTCTTGATCAGCAGTTCCCTCGCGCCGCCGTTGGCAGTGATGTCCAACACGGCGTAGTCATGTTCTGCCGCGAGGCCGAGCTGTCGCTGTTCGCGCCGAGGCAATTTGCCCGTTCCGATGGTCACCAACAAATTACCCTCGTTGAAATGCTTGACAACTTCATCCCACAAGCAGTCTGGTTCCACGTCGTGGTCATGCAGGAAGACTTGTTGTGGTATCCAGCCGGTAAGAACTGCTAGATCGGTGCCTGAGTTGCTTCCCGGGAAGTCGTAACCACCTCGGACCTTGAGATATGCTTTTTCTACCAATGCCGGCCATAGCAACCGTGGATGGCGCCGGTCAATGACATGTAGTACTCGGCTGGTCTTGGACGCAGGCAGATAGTCGTCGATCTCCACTCTTCTCCAGCAGCCGTTGAAATACAGTCTGAAGACGTACTTTCCATTCGGTGAGATGATCAGTCGATCCGTGGTGTCGTCAGAGGGATGCATCAGAGTACGAAGGACCTGCGTTATCTCAGTTACAGTTCACGATGAATTCATAGTGAGGCCTACCTTGGGGAAGCCACGTTCCGTTCTGGAAGTCAAGGCACACAGGCTTGCAACGACTGAACAGTCCGAAGTCATGTCTTGTACAAGATCCATAGCCACCGGCAGGTGCATGACCGCGGCCTCATCAGGAAGCTCCTGTTTGCCTTCATGGCTGTAGACAGATGGGAGGGCTTGACGTGGTCGCTTCCATCCATCAAAGGACTCCAGCTGAGTGGCAGACAGAGGGAGAGTACAGGTATCGGTGAAAAGCGCCTCGCCCTCACGGTGGAAGAATTCATCAGTGGTTGGTGGCCCGGTCCATGGCTTGAACTTGCACCCGTTCAGTTTGCCGCCTTCCAGAAGGATGATGTTCTCCCTCGTGGTAAGCTTCCGCGTCGAGACGGGTTCTTGGAGATTCTGCTTGCGCGGTGGTTTGCTCACGGAAGGGTGCGCATCTTGACCTTGCTTGAGGCGCTCAGCCTGTGCAAGAAGCCCATTGACTTTAGCGTCAAGTCTCTTCTTGTCTTTGGGATTGTCAGCGAGGCGAAGAGCCTGGAAGTACAGCTCTGCGCTCTTGATGGTGGCTTCCAATGCAGTCTTGTCGTTGGCCTGGGAAAGCACCGCTTTCTCGGCTGTTGATGCCTGCGCTTCGAGCTTAGAAAGTCTGCTATCCATCCTCCGTGCTACGTGGGCTAGGGAACAGGTTATGACGGCAACCCACCCACCATGCCACCATGGGAAAATGTCGGAGACGGGCCGGGATTCGGTAAGGAGAGTCAGACGGTCAATCAATCCCTGTCGACATGGATTGCCACAACCTCGGCTCACTTCGACAGCGAGAGCTGCTCATGACCGAGCCACTCACAGCCAGTCCAAACGATTTCCCACGGGATCCTAATGCGAGATCTGCCCAGGATCTTTCGGGCAGATGAGGAACTGGCCATAATGCATATCTACTACTGACTGTATCCAGACAATAATTACGCCATTACTCCTCCTTCCTGTGCTCGTTGACGACACCCAAAGAACCTCACTCAGCTCCCTCTCCGCTTACCGTCCCACCAGCGACGTCTAATACTGTGTGCAGATATAACTCTCTACTTCAGAGTCGTGGTTGAAATAGATAAGATCTTGCAAGAGCAGACGGGAGAGCTTCAGAGCTTCCCACAGACAAGGCCATGACAAAACCGGGGGAGCTGGCGCCGTGGGAGAGCGCAGTTGCAGGCGCTACTGGTGCCGTTCTCGCGAATGCAATTGTCTACCCACTGGATATGTATGCCTCCCACCTGCCCATAGCCATGGTGACGGACTGCACACTGACCAGCCTGCAGTGTCAAGACCAGATTACAGGTGCAGATCAAGAAGAAGGGCCAAGTACACCAGCACACCGCCGAGCACCATCACTACGAGTCGACATTCGATGCGATCAAGAAGATCGTCGAACATGATGGCATCATTGGCCTGTACTCGGGTATCAACGGTGCGCTAATCGGCGTCGCTTCCACAAACTTTGCCTACTTCTACTGGTACTCGGTGGTGCGGTCACTATACACCAAGTACCGTCAAGCGCATCCCAGTACAGCGGCGGAACTGTCACTCGGCGCAGTTGCGGGTGCGGTTGCTCAAATATTTACCATACCCGTCGCCGTAATTACCACACGGCAACAGACACAACCGAGAGGCCACAAAAAGGGTCTCTTCGCCACGGGCAAGGAGGTCATTGACAGTGAAGACGGCTGGACCGGGCTATGGAGAGGACTGAAGGCTTCTCTCGTGCTGTGTGTCAACCCGGCAATCACATATGGCGCTTATCAGCGTCTGAAAGACATCATGTTCCCGGAGAAGACCAGACTGCGTCCGTGGGAAGCATTCCGTAAGCAAAATCTTTTGTTGCGAGTCGTTTTTCATGTTACTGACTGACATGCTTGTACAGTGCTGGGAGCAATCTCCAAATCCATTGCGACGATATGCACACAACCATTGATTGTCGCCAAAGTCGGCCTACAATCCCGCCCTCCGCCAGCCCGGGAGGGTAAGCCCTTCAAGACCTTCCCCGAGGTCATGGAGTATATCGTCGAGCATGAAGGCCCTCTTGCCTTGTTCAAGGGCATCGGTCCTCAACTCATGAAAGGCCTGCTCGTACAGGGTCTGCTCATGATGACCAAGGAGAGAGTCGAGCTTTTGTTCATGTTAATCTTCGCCTACCTCCGCACCGTGCGGGCCAAGAGGCTGAAAGAGGCAGCGCAGAAGTTGAAGGAGAGCGCGGCGCCTCTAGCGGAAGGATTGAAGAGCCGAGCTATGCCGGTCGCCGAGAGCGTGGCCGAGAAGGCCAAGGCCAGTGTGCCTGCGACCTTGAAGTAGGGAAGCAATTGGTGGATAGGGATCTGCTTCCGCTCCGGCGAATTCAGCAACTGTCAGCTGTCAAAGTGGTGGAATGGTCTCAGGAGACGACGCGAAAAGAATTGGGAAGAGCAGCACGAGCATACTATAGCGGCGCAAGGTGTTCGGGTTGACCCAACATGCACGATTGGGTACTGTTGCGTGACTTCTCTTGAGGGCCAGCTTCGTCTGTATTGTACGGTCACTTCAGCTTCGACCTCAAAAATTATAGAGGCAAGATAGGACGCGCAGAGACGAGAGGCTAATTTGCACTGTTCAATGTTGAAATATGTGGTAAATGTGTGTTCCACATCGGGGATGTTTTACTATCGCTCCTCCCACTACAGTACACGATGGCCAATGTGCAAGATGTCTGTAGCACTTGGACTAAACTGCCAACGTGCCTCAGCACTTCGATTGTAGTGCAAGACGTCTGTAACACTTTAACTGAAGTGCCAATATACCTTTAGCACTTTGACTATAGTGTACCTTCTACTACACTTCAGCGAATATGTAAGTACAGAGTACACCTATAGCACTTCCACCAATATGCATCTAGTCTGTACTCCGTAGCACTTCTCATGATGTGCATTGAGCCTTTAGCACTTCGACCGAAGCGCACAGGTGTCCGTAGCAGTTTGTTCAATCTGCAAGCATGTCGTAGCGGTTCGACCAAAGTGCCATGTACCTGAAATTACTCCAGAATGCCGTTTGCTAGGATGGGATGCCCTTTCCGTCCATTTCTAATCAATAGACCCGCGAAGGTCGTCGACGTTCTCAATAGTCTTACTTACTTACCAACGAACACTAACAGTCCTAGGAGATCAGATTGCGTTGGCTGGATGATATTATACATATTACGATACATACATACATCTCTGCCCCGGCCGACTCCAAAAAGTCTTCTTGTACAATATGTGGCCGGCTAACGATTGCGCTTCTTCGCCCGGCCCGTCTGGCTTTGTCGCCATTCTGTTGCAGCTGCTACCGAAGTCAACGAGATCTTTCTGAAGAGGGCAACGAAGCCGCCTCCAAAGGTGCGTTCGCCCACGAGAGGCCGGCAGATCATGACCGGGGCTTGATCTTTGGACGTGGGTAGAGGTGGAGATGTCGGTAGGTTTTCGACTTCTCTGTCTGAAGCGGGTTCGCTTGGGGTCTCGGGTCCACTGACATCGTCGCCTTCGCTGTCTGTCAGTTCGCTTGCGGGAGTCTCCACTGCAACTGGCTCTGTCTCATCGCCGTCCTCTTTCTCTTCCGAGTTGAGTGGGGAGGCAGAACCACGCTTTTCCTCTCCCTCATGAACCAGAGAGGCAGAGCCTTTCCTTGGCTTGACAATCCTTACGTCCCACTTCCTGCCACTGCTGATGCCCTCTCCAAGCTCGAGCACCTTGCCCATCTCCAGGCCCAGCCCTTCCTCGGCAATGACACGGACACATTCGCCAATCTGCGTGATGCTAGGGACAAACACTAGTAGTCTTCCGTTGTCCTTCATCGCAGGGGCGACGTGTCGTAACTGCTCGTGCACGCCCGGCATGTCCAGGCACACGTAGTCCAGATACTCCGCCTGGCCGGTGTTACCATGAGAGTGCTGGACAAGCCAGTCTTGGAGCGACGAAGTGTAGAAATCGACATGCGGCCAGTATAGACCTCTTCGGAAGCCGCGCACGATCTTCTCGGCGTGGGTGCTGTATGAAGGGACCGCTTCGACCGTGTGGATTACCGCCCGGCGGGAAGACTTCCATTGCGACCAGGTTTGTGTGAGTGTGGATGTGGATGTGGGCGCCTCGGAGCGTTCATGTTCCGCAGGAGTTGAGGGCGTGACGGCCGTGAGATCGCCGTATAGACGGCACTTGGGCAGTTCGGCGGTAGGAGGGGATGGGTTCGCCGCGGCGATTGCGCGAGCGAGGTGCAGCGTGAGACTGCCGTGGCCGGTTCCTGCTTCTAGGATATCTATGCGCGGGGGACTATCGTTTCCTGCATGCTCCTCGGCAACGGGCTCAGGATGGATGTCAAGCAGGGAAACAATGGTAGAGGCATAGCTCGAGTAGACGGGCGTCACGAGCCTCGGTGTAAGTGTGACATAGTCCTCCAGGGAGGGAAGCTCAACTCGATGCAGGCCGCCTTTCGAGGAGCGAACAAAGGTAGACGTGACGGGCTTGCCGATAATGTCATTGAGTTGGAGCTGGCCTTTTGCGAGGTCGAATTTGGCATTCCGTGCCAGCGGGAAGGTGAGTCTCGATCCATCGATCAGCACTCGATCGCCCTCGGCGAAGCGCGTCACGTCGCGAGCAGCAGCGGCATTGTGGAAGAGCTTGGTGGCAGGAATGCCACTGCGGTGCTGAAGCCTGGAGAAACCAAGAAGTCTTATCAAGGGCCGCAACAGTCCTGACATGCCACAGCACTACAGTATGCCTGTGAAATTGTCGAGTGTGCGCTCGCCTGCGCTGGAATATCCGGAACAAGTATTTTGTATCTCCCAATTTGACCAGATCTGACTATGCTATTTACGGCAATTCGCGGCCGATGGATTTCTCTACGCAGCACGCAGTATGCTACGCAGTTATGCATCTATGCCTGCGCCCATGTGCCAACCAGCCATCACCCGCCAGCCTGGCAATCACTCGTCCTTCATTTTGCTCGATGCCTTCTAGAAGAAACAGTTGCTGACGCTTCACAAACATCGTCCACCTCTTCGTCTGTAGCGACGAGGCTCAAATTGGGCCGGGGCCTGTCCCCATGCCAGCATGACCAGAAGAATTGTATGGCCGCGATCACACCTCCCCTCCCCCTTCCCTCCCGGCTGGATGGCTAATGCTCTTTAGGTCCGCACCGGCATACAGTTGAGCGTGATTAGCGTCCTCCTCTTCATCATCGTCGCCTTCCTCGATAACCGGTACCGCGTCCTCCCAAATGCCATCCACAGCCATCTGCCCGCCCATCACCCGGGCTTCGTAGTCACAGACGTTACAGTCGTGACCTGCTCCTCCCTAAATCCCTTCAGCAAATGCACCGTCGAGGGCCCCGGCTGGCACCGCATAAACAAAGACCTCTACTTGGGCAAAGGCTACGTCTCCTCCGCCTACCTGGTCGTCAAGCGCAAGCCGGAAGATGACCTTTCAGCCCACGAAGAAGTGGTTACGGACTTGAGAGTCGGCCGGCTGCAACCATCCTCCGTCGATCCGACTGCTAAGGATGAGCGCTGGGAATCTCGCCCTGCGGGCATCTGGGTCAAACTGTCGACCAAGCGCCACGCAGCCGACATGGTCACAGGTGTGGACGTGCTCTTCGGCGCTGATGCCGTCGACCCGCGCTCAAACTGGCAGGTCCAGGACCTGTCCTTGTTCCTCGACGCGGACCGCGATAGTGCGGAGCCACGACTCACCGTGCGACGAGGCCCCGCGCTGAAAGTTGAGAAACCTGTGCCTCGAATCCGCAAGGACGGCAAGTTTAAAATCATGCAAGCCGCAGATCTACATCTCGCGACTGGACTGGGGAAATGCCGCAATGCTCTACCTGAAGGCCAGCCATGCGATGCCGACCCACGCACCCTGGACTTCATTGCCCGCATGATCGAAGAGGAGAAGCCAGATTTCGTCGTCCTCACGGGGGATCAAGTGAACGGGGATACCGCACCGGACGCCCAGACCGCCATCTTCAAATACAGCGAGATGTTTGCTCGGCATCGAATCCCCTACGCGGGCATCTTCGGCAACCACGACGACGAAGGCAACCTTAACCGTGCGGAGAGCATGGCCGTCATGGACGGCCTCCCGTTCTCCATGTCAACCGCCGGGCCTGAGGACGTCGACGGGGTGGGAAACTATTACGTCGAGATCCTCGGACGGGGCAGCACCTCACATTCAGCACTCACGCTGTACCTGCTTGACACACACAGCTATTCGCCAGACGAAAACCACTACCACGGCTACGACTGGCTCAAGCCCTCACAGATCGATTGGTTCAAAACCACCGCCCAGTCCCTCCGCCGCAAACACAAGGAATACACCCACATCCACATGGACCTGGCTTTCATCCACATTCCCCTCCCCGAGTACCGGAACCCGGACGGCCTCAGCCACGTGGGCAACTGGACCGAGCCGCCCACCGCACCGGCGTACAACTCGAACTTCAAGGACGCGCTGCTCGACGAGAATGTCTTGCTCGTGAGCTGCGGCCACGACCACGTCAATGACTACTGTCTTCCCTCGCTGGGTCGGGACAAACGACCTGCACTGTGGATGTGCTACGGTGGGGGCGCCGGCTTCGGTGGCTACGGCGGCTATTACGGCTATCATCGGCGGGTGCGCTTCTTCGAGATGGACATGAACGAGGCGAGGATCACAACATGGAAGAGGCTGGAGTGGGCCGAGACCGAGGCCGCCCTGAAACAGAGGGTTGATGAGCAGATTGTCGTGGATGGTGGTAGGGTCGTCACGGGGATGTAGTGGATCGCCGATGACCAGGAACGAGAACGAGAATCAGAATGAGAATGAGAACAGGAACGTCAACATTGAGACTGGGTCAAAGCTAATGGATACCACCGCTAACACGTTTATCAACCAGTCGGGTTTAAAGGCATGCCCGCTACAGGCAAAGTGACGCCCCACGCCGCGAATGAACAAGGAGACGAGGGCAATCTGATGCCGCGGTCCAGAGCCTATGTCGATCGTGAGCACCGCCGCCAATGGCACGATCTGGTACGGCCTGCTAAAAGGCGGAGGTTTCCAGCTTCTATGGTCCTCGATGAGCTTGAAAGTTGATTTGGTCAGACGGCGGTTTAGCTGGCCACTCCTCGCGACATCACTAGGATGCGGTGGGGAGACAGACACGTCACGGAAGAGACAGCTATAGTATAGCGATATTGCACGAGAGCTGACAGTACATTTCGGTTGCTTTCGTTGTACGCAACTTGAGGGGGTACGGCGACCTGGGACCTTGGCCGGATCGTGCTTGAAGCACGGAGGGATCCAACTTATTGGTGCTTGAACACTACTTGGAGTGATGGTGAGGAAATGAGGGACACACACACACAGAGAGAGAGAGAAAGAGAGAGAGAGGAGAGGGGGGGGAGAGAGAGAGGGAGGAGGGGGACTCGCCTACAGACTACAGATTACAGTTGCAGACAGCAGTCCAAGATCCCGACATGATCGAAAATTGAAAAGATGGTCATGACGCCTTGAGACAGAGCTCCCTGATTGATCGCGAACTGATCAATACCGTAAGAAATGAACGAAGAAAACCAACGAGGCTGCCACGGATGGGTACCTGGTACCTACTGTATGTATATTCTTGCTTCCGCCATGCGAGTCATCCAAGGTGCCAAAACCTTTTTCCTTTGGAACCATCATCCACCTTATGCTGCGGTGTTGGATCGAAGGGGAAGTGAAACCTTTCCTGCCCGGTTCGGGGACAAGTAGGTTTTTCCTGCATTGATACGACTGTCGTTGTGACAAATCCCATCCCTCAAAAGTGCCCATTAACTGTGAAACCAAACCGTGCCGTGGCTGGTCAAGAAGCGGATGACTTTGTCCGGGATCGTCGAGACAATCTTCGCAAGTCGAAATATGTATCCATGCATGCATGGCTGAAAGTAAGTGAAGGCCAAGGGATTTGATTTGGGTTGGCGCCCGACAGTGAAGTGAAGTGAAGTGAAGTGAAGTGAAGTGAAGTGAAGTGAAGTGAAGTGAAGTGAAGTGAAGTGAAGAGAAGTGAAGTGAAGAGAAGTAAAGAGGGTGAGGTGGGGTGAGGTGAGGCAGGAAGTCAGGAACGAAGTTTCTCTCGACGAGGCTGGTCAGTCAGTGGGTAAGTCAGTCAGACAGTGGTGGCAAGGCTGAGGTGGAGAAGGGCGAAGATATCACGAATGAATATGAATGAATGAACGGACATTGTCAATAGGGATTCGAGTATCTTCTCTCCTTTCCTGTTTGCTTTTCTTTCTCTGTCTCGTCGCTCATCCTCATAATCACCACCACTTCTCACAGAGGACTCTCTTCTCTTCCATCCCGCGCTGGGTCCGGAACCACGCGACGAACTGGTCCGTCATGGCTGGCAAGCCGCACACGTACACGATCACGGTGTCCCTGCGGTCTTCTGGGCCGAGAGCTTCCTCGAGATCATGCTCCTGAATGCGTCTATATTGCGTTGGTTGGACTCCAGGCCCCGAGTCAATCTCGTTGTACCGCTCCAGCAGGTCGGGCGCCCCCGCAGAATTGAACAGCCGCGACAGTTGCGAGTACGTGTTCCGCCAGGAGACCGTGTTCGGACTCCGGCTCACGTAGTTCTGCATGATCTGGGAGTATTGGTCGGAGATTTCGGGCCGATCGGGAAATCGAGTCTGTCAAGCAAGCCGTGTTCGCGTCAACAGAAATTCGCAATACCCTCGTCGAGACGCGCGGACGCGGACAAGCATCGTAGGAACTGCGTGTCAACAACATACCTTTATTGCTGCCGCGAAGGAGCGCCTAGCCTCCGATCTGTCCGTAGGCTCTTCGGATTTAACCCCCGTGATGAACTGCGTGTATCGGAAGTTTACTTGCACGTGGTGTTTCCAGTGATGTGCAATATCGGCGAGTCTGGTCGCGAACAGGATGTCCTCCTCTTGGTCGGTCTCTGCGTTCTTTTCCCGTCGTGCGCTGTAAAGGACGCTTACTTCCATGGGCATCCCGCCCAGTCTATTGGCCCCGGCTTCGTGCATGGCTGAGATCATGCTCATGATTGGGTTGATCCCGACTCCTCCGGCCACGAAGACCACTCTGTCAATTCTTTCGCGTTCTTCTCGCTTGAGGGTTGGCGGTGGATAGACGAAGCTGCCTCCCACCCTGAAACTCACGGTCGAGTCGAGGATGTCTGACACGGGACGCCATAGGTATGCCGCGGGAGGGTTTGACGGGGAGTCTTGAATTGCCAATTCAATGTGCGGATCTTCCTGGCTCTGGACAGACGCTTGGGGAGGAGAGGTGATGGTGAAGCCTCCAACGACATCGATGTTCGGGATATACAGGTCTACGTATTGACCTGGGAGGTGGCGGAGGGGCGGCTACTAGATATCTCATGGGTAAGTGGAAATAGATCTATGAGTGCCCAGCAGTACGGCTTTATTTCCCTGACAAGGAGACTGGCTCACTGGGTACAGTGCAACAGTGGGCGTCGCTCGTCTGCTCTTGGAGGAGCACTCTCATCTTGAGGCTTGAAATGTCGCAGAGGCTGCTGCTCTGACGAGTGAACACATTCCTCTGTAGGATTGCGGTATCAAGCATGGCATAACGAGAAAGAGAAGCACCTACCCCATCCTTGGGCAAACTGAGCCTCAATAGCCGTATCTTAGAGTTGACCTGGTCAACTTTGCTCAGTCGTGCCGACCATACACCTTGCTGACGAGGCTCTTCAGCAGTCCTGATGATATGTGGTATTGAATCTTTGACGGAGGCCATCCTTCGTGTGTATAGAAATGGGGAAGAGAAAGGGCTCAGAGGATAGTGGGACGGGGATTTGAGAACCGGTCTGGTAGTAGCACGGATTGTGCGATGGATTGTTCGGTTGCTCAGATTCATTTCATGATCAACAGGAAGCTCCCTCTAAAGCGGGAGGTTTTCCACATCAGTCCGTAGACGCACAGTCATGGGAGTTATGTTTCTGCCGGTATCGAGAGCCCAGCGATGAGAAGCTGGTGATTTTGACGGGAGTGGATGACGCTTCCAACCATAGTAGCCCCACTTGCCTGCGACAAGCGATGGCAGAGGCGAGAATCGAACCATGCTTGCCAATGGCCATGTTGAAAGACGAGAGAGAAAGATAAAAGCTCACTTATTCGAGTGTATGCATGTTGAATGACTTTCGAAATTACCCTACCTGCGCTACAAGGTAGGCATGACGTGGCATGGAGGAGACGGCACGTCCTGCGCAGCTGCTGTACATTGGGAGAGCAAGCCCTCGATTATCGCTGCCACGACCTGCACCATCTGGCCAAACTCATTGATCCTGCCGCCGAAACGTCCGATTCATGTCTCGCCTCGTCATGCGTAGGAGCAATTCTTGGTACCATGTGAGATTCATGCTCTTCATCTGCTCTGGGCAGCCTCGCAAATCACCTGTGGAGATACCGATTGCTTGGTGCGGATGAGATTGGGTTGAAGGCGGCAGTATGAAGATATCGCCCACATGTCACAGCATGGCATAGCGAGAAAGGAACACCTGCTGTGTATCGGTCGGCGCTGGGCGATTGAGCTGCGTGTCAGCTAGATATATCCCTCGAGAGACCAGAAGCATCGACAGTCGGAGGCAGCAGCTTCAGACGTATCGGGCGAGCTTTGCAAAAGAGAATTAAAAACAAAAGAACAGGGACAAACGTAGGTTGAGTTCCTACGGGTGATGAACATGGATACTTGTCGTGGAAAGCAGTGTCTGTATCAGTAGGAGCCAACTACCATGGTTATCGTCTCGAGCGCAGCCATTGAAAATAGACTAATGACTTCCTATTGACAATAACGTTGGTCTCTCGTCCCATTGAAACCATGATGGCTTACAACAGGTATATCAAGATTGTAGAGTCTGCCTCAGCAGCACCGGGGCAAAATCTTTCGTATGACAATGACAAGCATCAACGATGGACATCAGATGGACATGTAGGCTCCAACAGGACTTGGTGTTTCGAGATGTTCCTTTGATAAAATCCTTTCCACATCAATGTCCTCGAGAATATGTGGTGACCAGCGCAGGAGAGGCTGTAAGCAGGTGAGGGGCTGGGCGTGCTGAGATGGGTGCACCCGAAGGGAAAAGGAAAGGTGTCGAACAACTGCAGCCAATCGTCTCGAGAATGCGGCTCACAACAGCATCGAGGAGGGCAGCGGGTAAAGGAATGAAGACATCTCACTAGCTCCCCATCATCTGGTCGACAAAGCTGGGGTTATGTCGATGATAGAAAGGGTGGTGGAAGGGATGCAGTTGCATCAACCTTGGGTCATCAGGGCTTTGCCGAGATAGGCCCTTTTAGTGGGCGGCGACACAGCTGGGACTTTCTCTCAACCTCACTCCTGCCCGCTCATCCCTCCGACGGCCGCCAACCTGATAATGCGCGCATACCTGCCCACACTCCTTTTCCGAACGACGTGGACGAACGTGTCGACAGAAGAGGACGCTGTATAGACGGATATAGGGACATTCCTTCAGACCCAAGGTGGATGGTGGAGCATATCAGATTCGGAGGACGCACAATAGGTATTGAACACCCAGAACAGTCTCTCCATCATATTGCGTTCACCCACACTGACACTGCTCAGATCCTCGATCGCAAGACCATTTTCGATTATTACATTTACTTCCTGAACCATCTTACCCCATCTCGCCTCTGCCAGTGGCCAATATCAATTATTCGTTCATCAGACAGATGTCTACATGGCGGCCACAATAGCATTATCAAATACCGCAGAAATCATGTCAACCACAATACTGGACGTCGAGATGACGGACGTGTCGAAGGCTGGTCTTCCAAGGTATGCTGGCAGACGCTATGCTGCTTGAAGCCCGTTGTGGTCCAATGGTGGGTTTCGATACTGATGAGTTCAGTCATGATCAAGTCATGGACAACCAGTCAGACGACGATTCGGTCATCAAAATGGAAGACGAATCCGACGACGATGCTTCTCCGGGCGGACCGACTTCTGTCCTTCGAAGTCTGCAGCTCGAGAGCGATGCCCGTGATTCTCCTAACAGTTCGATGACCTCGGTTTCGGTCGCCTTGTCCCTCCCAGAGCAGAAGGTGAAGGCTACACCGAAAGCCGAACACAAGCATGAGAGCCAGAACAACGTAAGCCCGTACATGTATATGAAGGCTTCTACAACGGCTCGAGCCAAATCGTCCATTCCTCCGAGGCTCCCCTCTTCCGAATATGCCAGCCAATGTGTGGCTGCTGCCGAGGCCTCGAGGCTTGATCCCTTTGCCTTGCATGAAGACGAGCACAGACTGTTACAAGACAAGCTGTGTTACTCCCATGTTACGGTGTACCTCAATATTCGCAACGGCATTCTTAGACTGTGGACGCGGAACCCAAGCGTGAGCGTGAGCCTCGATGAGGCCATCGGCTGTGCAAGAGATGAACGCTGGACGCGTCTTGCTTGTTTCGCCTATGAATGGCTTGTGAGAAGAGGCTACATCAACTTTGGCTGCGTCGACTCCCCATTCATAAGCCGAAGTGTTGGTCGTGGGCGGAAGAAAGAGGTGTCCCGTGAGACGATCGTGGTCATTGGCGGTGGTATGGCCGGCCTCAGCACCGCAAGGCAGCTCACAAACCTCTTCAAACACTACCCAGATCGTGCTCCCCCACGAGTCATCGTGCTCGAAGGCCGTGAGAGAATAGGTGGGCGAATTTATTCACATCCTCTTACCAGCATGCGATCAACCAAGTTATCACCTGATCAGAGACCCACCGCTGAGATGGGTGCTCATATCATCGTCGGATTCGAACGCGGAAATCCTCTCGATGCCATTGTCCGTGGCCAACTTGCCCTCGACTGCCACCTCCTGCGAGACCTCTCTACCCTCTACGATATCGACGGTACACCCGTTAATGGAGTCAACGATGCAATGATAGAAAGGTTGTACAACGACGTCCTCGATCGAACGGGTCATTACCGGCTCAAGCATCCTGTCAAGAGAACTGCACATGGCGACAAAGAGTTAATTGAGGCAGGACGTGATCCTCCCGAAGAGGAGTCAATCACGATAAAACAGTTCGAAGAAGCTACTGCACTCGGCACAATCGATCAACTGCTGTCAAGCAGAAAGTCTAAGAGGAGAGGTGCAGGCCATCGAGCCGCAAAAGGCGACAAGTCCAAAGAAGAAGTCGACACAAGTATGGAGACCAAGACTCAGCTTCCTGCCGCGCAGGCAGCCAAAGAGTTTGGCTTCTTACTAAGGAAGACAACCCAGATGCACGAGACGTTGGAGCTGGATGACCTTGCCTCCCAGCTCAACCAGTCTCTTGGATCAGTCATGAATGCCGGTATTGACCAGTACCAGAAATTTCTCGACCTCAAACCCTATGCCCTGCGCCTCATCAACTGGCATTTCGCGAACCTCGAATACGCAAATGCGGCCAACGTGGACAAATTGAGCTTAAGAGGTTGGGATCAGGACATCGGCAACGAGTTCGAAGGAGAGCACGCCCAAGTTGTCGGCGGCTACCAACAGGTCCCGCGCGCCATATGGCGTCACCCAGAACCTCTCGATGTCCGGTTGCGCAAGCCTGTCAAGAGCATCCGCTATAGTGCGGCCGGCTCCCAAGGCAAAGCAACTGTCACTTGTGAGGACGGCCAATCGATCGATGCAGACAAAATCGTTTTTGCGGCGCCCCTGGGCGTTCTCAAAGAACAGACGATCCAATTCGACCCACCTCTGCCCCAGTGGAAGCGAGATGCCATTAGAAGAATGGGCTTCGGCTTACTGAACAAGGTCGTTCTTGTTTTCGAGAGACCATTTTGGGACGTTGACCGAGACATGTTCGGTCTTCTGCGCGCTCCGCGCGATAACGCTGGCTTCAGTCAGAGCGACTACAAAAAAGGTCGGGGTCAATTCTATCTCTTCTGGAATTGCATCGACACAAGCGGACTACCCGTCCTCATTGCCCTCATGGCAGGGGAAGCCGCGCACGAAGCCGAGAAGGTCAGCGACGAAATCCTAATAGGGGAGTGTCTGACCCAGCTGCGAAATGTATTCGGCGCGCCAAACGTGCCAATGCCTGTGGAGTCGATCGTCACTCGCTGGGGATCTGATCGGTTTGCGCGAGGCACGTACTCGTATGTTGCAGCCGAAGCAAGACCCGGTGACTATGACCTCATTGCCGCTCCCATCCAGAATCTGTTCTTCGCAGGCGAGGCCACGATTGCGTCCCATCCAGCAACAGTCCACGGCGCCTACTTGTCAGGTCTCCGTGCAGCGAATGAAGTATTTGAGTCGATGGTCGGTCCCATCGCTATACCATCCACACTTGTTCCCACCGCGGGTGCGAGAAAGTCATCTGCTCCAGTCGAAGTCAAGCAGATGGAAACACACATGGCCCAAGGCGGGAAGAGGAAGGGCGACGAACTCCTGCCTGCCGGTACCTTCACAAGACCTGTCAAGGAAAAGGACAATACGCTCCATGAAGCTTGGGATGCGGCTATGTGGGTCCGGATCTACGATGACCTCGGTCCGCCACCAGTGAAACCCGTGAAGTCAAACGTGAACTCTTTCCTCCTCTTCTCGGGTGAACACTGGGATGAAGTCAAGGCTCGACTAGCAGAGGAGCGATCGCGGACGGGTAAAAAGACCAAACAGTCCGAACGAGATCAAGTCCGCGTCGAGCTCGGCAAGATGTGGGCTGCTCTGTCCGAGGAAGGGAAGAAACCCTACACGGACAGGACGAGCAAGAACCGTGAAGAGAACGAGGCGGCTCTGAAAGAGTGGTCTGTCAAAGCTGCGGAATGGGACAGGCGGACTTGGGAGGTCAAGGATGTCTGGATCAAAGAGGGCAACAGCTTCGAAGAGTTTTGCAAGCGCAAAAGGGAAGATGAGGAGGCCATGGATGTGGAAGCCGCCAAGCGTGCGAGGGTTTAGATGGCTACACATTGGTTATGATTACATTAGAGCGCATGGTGCATCGGGGAGGATCTGGTGACTCCGCTACAGTATTTGGTAGCCGAATATCGCTTGCAGATGTATGATGCACTCCCGAGGCAGTCATCAGACGCCCTCTCTGGTTACGTATGATGATTGTGGTGAACTTTTCAAGCCCTTTCCACCATTGACAGGATCCAGCGTTGGTTGTTAGGTCAGATTATAGAAACTGCGCAGGGCAGATCAATTCAGACTGCGCAGGGCCGCTGTATGAAAACACCACTTCCGATATCGGCTATACCCCAGACTCGATCGAAGCACCAGAAGCGGGGGACCGGGTGACTCAGACCAACATCGTATTCGCACAGCTATGGACATGTAGCATTCGTGAGCAGTGCAAAAGAGCGATCGCCGATTTGTCGTACCATGAAAGTCGCGGCTCCAATAGTGGTACGGGGTATATCAGCGTAACAAAGCCTGAATAGATCCTGATCGAGGACTCAACAAGTCGTCGATAAACCGGGTACAGAGTACCTCGTACTAATCGATCTAGGTTCTGCGTCGACCGATACCATCGAGTACAGTGGTTGCGGGAGGAGAAGGGAACCAGAACCCCATCGAATATTTATCCATCTCTCTATTCATCCACTCATCGAAATTATAACTTCTACGCTACGCTCCGCAGGAAAACGACATCAATCCTCCGCCAAATGGGTCAATTCTACGAAACCTTCCCCCCCTCCCTGGTGCAATGGCTCCTCGAGCAAAAAGTCTTCTACATCGCCTCGGCGCCCCTGTCGGGGGACGGCCACGTCAACGTCTCCCCCAAGGGCGTGTCCGACAAAGGCGGGCCCTTCTTTGGCGTGATCAAGGAGTCGAAATCACAACGACAACTACAGCGACACGTTCGCAGCCCTGACGAGGAAGACCGCCGCCGCACCGCCCCCACTAACGACAAGGACATCCTGATCCGCCAGTTCTGGTACATGGACCTCACGGGCAGTGGGATCGAGACGACGAGCCACTTGCACGAGCCGGGCAACGGGCGCATCACGGTCATGTTCAATGCGTTTTCGGGCCCGCCTCGCATTTTGAGAATCTTCGGGAAAGGTGCGTATTGAGCATTGCGTTCTAGGAAATACTTGTATTCGGGGGATCTTGTCCAACCCTGTTGTGCTAGACTGAGGGCGAACGCACGCGCATCCATACTGACGGTATGCCACCCACACAGGAACACCGCTCGAATACGGCACCCCCGCGTTCGACGAGATCGTCAAGTCGCAGGGCGTGACGATCATCCCGGGCACCCGGTCCATCGTCCTGGTGGACATCCACCAGGTGGGCACGTCCTGCGGGTTCAGCATGCCGTGTTACGAGTTTGTCAGCTTCCGACCGACGTTGAATGATTTCTTTGAGAAACGCGTCAAGAGCGAGAGGGAGGGAAAGCGCGAGGATGGGATTGAGAGGTGAGTACTGTACTGTCGGCATGTTTGATTCCCTCTTCCCCTCTTCTCTACGGAGCGGAGTATTTCCTCCGGGTCTAGGTCGATTGCACTTCCACTTCGACCACGCCATCGTGAAGATGGTGACGGCGATGACGTTCCCGATGCGCACGCCGCTCTAAGAACGACATGCCATTATATTCATAATCATATTCATGTTCATAATCATATTGATGTCAATTTCAATGTCAGCGGGGTCAACTGGCTATGTAGCTTACCCTTCACTTCTCAACAGGTACTGGGCGTACAAGAACGCGTGGAGCATGGACGGCCTGCCTGGGATGCAGCGCGGCGTGAAGACCGCCCTCACCGACAACGTCAAGCCGATCAAGAAGATGGTCGGACCGTACGCGCCTGAGATGGGCCGGCGGAGGAGGTCGACGCGGACGTTCACGTTGTGGCATTTGATCCTCGCGGCGCTGTTGGGCGCGCTGAGTATCGTTGCGGTGGGCTTGGTTGTCGTGAGATCTGGGTCCGTGGCGGTATGCTACGGGAGGGAATGTACGACGATGCACTGTGTTGGGAAGCCATGTCTGGGGGATGGAAATGCTAGGTAGATTACGCGAGGGTCCATGTCAATGGCGGGAACTGTGGTCTTGGGTGGACGGCAGAGTGGCATGTCTCCAAAAGCACAGGGGTTATGAATCACGATCGCGAGGCTGTCTCAGGGCATTGATCAAGTCTTGAGCTGAAGTGGGACATTGTATTGTAATTATCGCGAACCAACGCCTTGAAATTTTGGGGTATCAAAAGAAAACAATCACGGGCTGTACAGTACATAAGTAGCAATTTAGGAGCGCCAACTGCGCTTGTTTAGTCCCTCGTCTCTTCTGCTCACATCCATCCACAATGCCACGGAGCGGGCATGAGGCACCAACTCTTGGTAACACCTGCTTTCCACATCAATATCCTCCAGCTTTTAATTTTACGAGCTGGACGTCACCTGCCTGGGTGGCGCAGGTCCCAGACTGGAAAACCATCGCCCATGGCCGAAATATTTGTCTTATCGACCAGTACAGTGCATGCCTGCGCTCGTTGCTGAACAGCACCAGCAACAAACAGCCGACTTTGGCAGGAAGTAGGTCCGTGTGGCCAACACAGTGGTGCGAGGCTGAGATCTTCAAGGTAGAAGGCTTGCTTGACGTGCGGCATGGCACTCTCGGGGACTGCGCCACCAATGGTAGTGACAAGGCTCGGTCGGCGGGGCGGTCACCCACGTGCCTGCGCAGGGATCTTTGTCGAGTTGCAATTGAGAAAGTCCATCAATGGGATGCATTTCTCTCCTGGGATGCAGAATCCAACAAAGGACATTGGCCATCGAGGCCCTATCGTGGAGGTTTGTGGTAGGTGTGTTGCCGATTTGGGCTCTCAGCCCTTCTTGTTGCTTGATTGGGAATGATCTGGCGTCATCTGGCACACGGCCACTGCATTTCTTCCAATCCAGTCGAGCTCGTAGAAGAGCGCGTTGGACTTGTTTTTTGATCGCCGTAACATGTGGTGACTGTGCTTGTGGGCCATCCGGTGGCCTCTCTTGTCCTGTCGTCGCTGCCGCTTGCGCTCGATCCGGCCTTGCTGGGTCTTCAATCGAGGGTAAAGACTCTCGTCAAGACACACTTTGCTGGTGCTTGCTTTGAAATGCGGTTCCGGCGTGCGCTCGGCACTGGTCCAGTCGTCGTCACTGGAAGGAGGGGTAGGGCTAAGAGAGGTGCGCTGGAGTTCGCGGGGGTCGAGGAGGGCGAAGTGGCCCTCCAAGTAGAGGGCGTAGGAGTTGCGTCTGAGGAATTTCGGCGTCTCTTTGGTTTGTTCGAGGGTGGTCAATCTGGACTGCAGCTGGGTGGCGAACAGGTTTGCTGTCTTCTCCTCGAGGAAGCCGCGGATGCCCTCGTCTGGGACGACAGACGGGGATCGCGTCCGTGACTCGGTCCAACTATGCCCATCCATCGTCAGAGTGGTATGAACATGTTTTCGGATGGTTATGAGGTGGTTTGGTGGATGATGCCAGCTTTGTGAGTCGTGAAATCAGACAAACGACGTTGTTGTTGGGTGCCAGCCACCGCCGTGCACGTGCCGCTTCTGCCAAGCCGGCAATCACGGGAAACTCCGGCCTTGGCCGCGAACAAGCGCCGTTGCCGCACTACGACCGCCGCTCCAACCGTGACGGGACTGTTTGGTGTGGCATTGAACATGTTTTTGCGTGCAGATGTCCTTTCCTGGGGCATCCTGTAGAAAGCGTCGAGTGTTGGCTTTCATTGCCGATGTTCTTGGATGAAGATACTGTGTCGACGGTCCAAGAACGCGTCGAGATGGCGTTGACCAGATGACCCCGGGGTGATGCCCGCGCAGCGTCTGCCTGTTGCAACTCGACGCCTTTTTGGGGGCCCTATAAAACCGGACACTGACCACCAACAAACCATCCTTCCTACGCGGCATTCTTCCCATATTTGCGATGGCTAATGCCCACGAGGATGGGACCGAAACTATTCCCAATTCGCCAGACACACTGCTTCTGGAGGATTCCTTTTTCAGCCCAAGAACCAACGCAAAGCTAAGAGGTGACTTCGCGCGCTTAGTGCCTGTCAATCATAATGCCATACTTGCATTTCATTCCATCGCCGAACGCACCCGGCTTGAACCAGATTGGAACCCGCATATCCGGAGATTTCTCTTCATCGAGGATACGCCCCGAGCAATCTCACCAGAATGGGACGGTACTAGCGATACCAATAGCGATGCAACAGGCCCGCTCCAGCAGGGTCAAGTATTAGCGGGCTACTATAGACTCAGCCTCGATCTGATCACCAACCACCCGCGACTGGGTTGGGTGCTTGGTTCTGGCAGGAAGGATCTGCCCAATGGTGGTGTAGACTTCCTATTGACCCTGCAGAAAAACAGGCATCATGTCCACGGTAGGCATGCTCGTCTCGTACACGCCCAAAATGGCGCGTTGATGCTCGTCGTCGGCAAGGGAAAGGCTGTCGTTGTCAATGGCATTGAGCGCATGGAGGGCTCCCAGCGAGTAATGGGGTCGGTCCGCACGGCGCTCGCCTTCGGTAACTTGTCCTACAACTTGGAGTTCACAGGCTTGAACGAGACCAGCTACCGCGATAAGTTGGGCGAACTGTTCACGAAGCTCCATCCTGATGGTGACGTGCCGCCCATGTCTCTGGAGCTGACGCCTCTCGAACATCACCATGAATTACATGGCTTTCTGATACACTCTCCGTTCGCGTCCGGCGCCAGCGGCGTGGTGTCGGCGGGGTTCGAAAAATCAACGGGCCGGGCAGTTGCCATAAAACGCGTGAAGCGTACACCGGCGACAGTGGCAAGGATACAGCTGGAGATCCAAATCTATAGGAAGATTGGTGACCATCCAAATCTCTGCCATCTCATGGCAGACTTCTACTCTGGAGGTGACGAGTACAGCACGGGGAAATCCAAGATCAACGATGTGTATCTGGTGCACTCACCTTTGGCCAGACAGACCTTTCTCGACCTGACACTCTCCAAAAGGCCAGCTGAGGTCCGGTTGTCTGCCTTCCACCAAGTTATGAAGGGATTGGCACATCTCCATCAGCACAAAATCATGCACAGAGACTTGAAGCCTACCAACATGATGCTTGTTTCCTACCAGCCTGTTCATGCGATCATTATTGATTATGGCAGTGCCACCTTCGACACTACTTCTACCGACCACTACTGCGGCACTATCGCTTACCTGGCACCCGAGGTGCTGAGGCTCAAGTACGAGAGGAACAGGAATCTGAGACATGATGCGTATGATTGCCGGGTTGATGTCTGGTCGATGGGGCTTTCAGCGTATCAACTGTTTTTCCAGGAACCGTGCAGGTGGGAGAAGGGCGTCAGCAACACCGCTCACAAGGAGATCATACGCAAATTGAGGTCCCGTCCCGGATCGGTCGCCGACACACTTGAGAAGATGCTTTCGTGGCAAAGCGTCCATCGACCCACCGCTGATGAGGTACTCCGTTTCAAGGGCATCTGGTCTAAACTCGGCGATGCAGCTGAACGTCCGGAGGACGACCGCGCCGCCCACCCGCCACATGGTGCGAAAAAGCCGAAGGCATGACCTCCATCACCAGCAAGGTCTGGATGTGGCTGGACAAAACGTTGAGGTGCTCGTCAGCAAAAGCCTTGGAGACGTATTCCAGCGCTCTCCCAGAGACGAGTCACAGCAACAGGGCTGCCTTCTTATGAGCTTACATACGAACGCCCATTCCACGTTGCATTGTGGCTGAGTAGTTGGCCAGTCAGTCGTCGTTCGGGACTGCGGTGCGTCTTGGTACCTCACGGGAGCAAGCTAAACACCGGTCAGATTGACCTCACCAAGGAGGCTAAGAGCACGGAGACAGCCGGTCATGACGCTGCACGGTGCCCGATATCAGAGGGGCCTCATGACTATCAGTGCACAATGATCACCAACGCCTCGTCTTCTCTCGCCGTGCGGACTCCTGAAGCGGCTTAAGATTGGCGCTGGTGTCCGAAACGGTACCTCGGTCAACAATGCCATGCACGACAAAAGAGCGAGAGGCATCGAGCTTCGCCCACCCACCACGGCCCTTCGAGACGCTCCGCTTGGGCGTAGACTTCGAAGGCATTCAGCCGTCGCCGTTACACTCTCACACTTGGTCCAGAGCATCCCACCAGCCAGATGAAGGACGTAGTAGAGTTCTGTGAGTGTATACGTACGAGATTGATTGATCGCGAACTCACAAGTCACCCTTGAAGTGTTTGCCATCGCGGGAAACAGACGCCGCGGTTGAGCTGTGCAGGTTGTGAAGGGGGATTGTTCACCATTCGCACGCCACATGCAAGCACAAGTAGCAGGATCTTCTTGCACCGACCCAAAATGGTTCGAAGAAAATCGTTGACGTATGAAAATGGTTAGAGGTACAGGAGCGCAAAGAGGATAGTGACGAGTCGAACACTTCTTTCAACTATGGCGAATATTCACATTAGGGAGCGCAAATGCGACAAGCTCCTGGGCATGCGCCGGCGGCAAAAAATCATGGGGACAGTCCTGCGAATAGTCGAAGACTTCGATGAGGAGGGTCACTACTCTCATTACAAAGGGAACAGGCAGGCTATTGAGGTATTGAAATCCCCAGCAGGCGGATGCTATAGCAAGAAAGCGCTACACGGGAGTCCAAGCCCTTCCAAACGCACTGTCACTCTTATCATTCTCCAGAGTAAACCCCCTGAGCCCATCTCACTTTCTCACAAACGACTCTTCAGCTCCGGGCCCGGCCACCATTCCTTGACATCTTTCCTGACCCAGTCCACAATCCCCGAATTCACCTCCTCGGGACACTCCAGTGCGCCCCAGTGGCCCGCTTTGATCACAAACTCTGTCAACTTCTCACAGTTCTTGCGCATCTCGTCCATGAGCCTCGGATTATACACCGTCTGGCACACTGCGTCGTACTCGGTGTGCACGAACAACACGGGCATCTTCAACACGCCGCCGTTCACACTCTTTTCGAGCGTGTACTTGCGGTTGGCGGCGTGGTTCAAGTACCACGCCGTGGCGCCATGCCAGCCTTTCTTCTTCGCACTCGCGACTAGAGCATCCAACATCTCCTGGTCCAGAACCGTCTTGTCAAGTGGAAAGTCTGGGACGGGCGCCCCAGGACCGCCGAACCAGCCCCCATGCTTGGTCACCTGGGCGGTCCGCGCAGGCGATTTACCCGCCGCGGCATTCCCTCGCCCGTACACCAACTTCAGGAGGACCGGGAGGTTCGCCTCGAACTGCCTGTCCAAGGCTTTGGGCTCCCGTTCGTAGAAGACCTGATAATCCCACTGTCCGTAGGGAAACTCCTTTTCGGGGTACAAGTCGCGGTCGATCAGCTCTAGAAGCGCGGAAAGGCCGAGCTCGAGCGTCCGGTACGGCACCGAAATGCCCACCATGGCACGACAGACTTCGGGATGGTGACTTGCCAGTGCCCAAAGCGGGCCGCACCCCCAATCGTGGCCGACCCACACGGCCTGCTTCCTGCCCAGATTGTCCAATAACTCCAGCAGATCGGGCACGATTTTCTCAAGCGCAAAGTCCGCCGGGTCGGTGGACGTCCAGGTGCCGCCGTAGCCGGGCATGTCCGGGGCGACGCAGTAGAAACCCAGCGACGAGAGGGAGAGAAGTTGTGGTTTCCATGTCAGCGCAATGGCGGGCCAGCCATGGAGAAAGATGACAAGAGGCCCGGTTGCAGGACCGGCCGTAAGGTAGGTGTAGGGTTTTTGGCTGGTGGTCGTGGTGAAAGTGTGGCTTGTTATGGAGGGCATTTTTGTCCGAGGTGTCTCCCGAGAGGTGCCACACAGCTGTCGATGATCAGGAGGTGGAAGAGCGTGCCGTTGGATGGGAAATCTTGGCAGTGTCTTGGTCAAGTAGAGCGAGCGCCACGAGTAGCGGAAGTACAGTAGCAGCGTCCAGCGCAAGAGCTTTAAGTCTTACTGTACGGAGTACTTGTATCGAGAAACCGAGGTCGCGCAAAAAGAGAGACAAGATGACCACCGTTTATCTAGCTTTGAGACAGGATCTCCAGGCGTACGTACATAAGCCATTTAGGCCAACATTGGGATGACATGCGCACACACCAGTGGTATATACAAGTCCGGGTATGGGGTGCCACCCAGGAGGGAGGACACAAGATCCATGGACCTCGGTCGCGCTCGGCGAGGCAGATCAAGAACTCTTGTGGTCTGCAGCAGCCGTCCACTTACTGTGCACAGTACTACTACTGTAAGCGACAGTATGGTCTGCGTTACGAAGCCTGGTTTGTCGATTAGTGAACTGTCGCGTGGAGTCACAGTATTGTATGACAATGGCAGCGAAAGACTCGGGGGTTAGGTTCAGGATTAGTCAGCCGGATCAACAGATACGTTCAGGAACTGACAGACGACTGTACATAGTAGTTTATGCACGATAC